CAAACCCATTTACAAGCTTTGTCATCAATTTTATTGGCGTGGAGCTTAGAAATTGAAAGATCATCAGGAAGGACATAAAAAGCTTTACTGAAATCAAGAAATATACAATCAGCACTTCATGGCTTGTCGATTGCCATAGAGAGGTCATGTAAAATTTCAACTAGTTGTGTGCTACAAGAATAGCGCCGACGGAATCCGTATTGCGACGGATGCAAAAAGTTAAACGTGTTAAGATGAGTCACAATATTACTATAAAGAATTGTTTCATTATCTTGCAAGAAATGCTTGTCAAGGATATTGGTCGGTAATTTCCAACACGGTTTCTAGGTACACTTTTATGTGCTGGCCTTACTTGAGCAAGCTTGCAATCCAAGGTCAGAAAAGATTCGCGTAGCAATATTTCAAACAATATCACAAAGTAAAGGCACAATGAACTAGTACAAGATTTCAGAATACACGCAGGAATATCATCTGGAACAGTCGATTAAGTTCTGTCTATGTCACACAATTGATCTAGAATTCCAGACACACAAAATTCAACTTCTGGCGTCTCGTTAGTTGCCGCTGGAACATTGAAGTGCACCGAATGCGACTGGCAAAACGTAAAAACCTACTAAAAATATTAATTGAAATGCGCTGCCTTTTCAGTATCGCTATCAACGATAGTATCGATGTGCCCGAGCGTTCAAATGAAAGAATTGTCTCTACCGTTACTGCGAACAGATTTCCAAAACTCTTTTGGGGAACGCCGAATGCTTTTTCTAAATTGTGAATAACGTAGACTTTGCATGCTCCAACCTGTCTCGAATCACTCTTACGAATTCTACTGGTCTAGCGAGATCAATCTGAAGCCATGTTTTACGGAATTTAAGACAGGCCCTTTGTTTTTTTTTAGTAATACACGCAACTCGCATGTAAACCATGGCTTGTCACATGCCCATTTTGGCCTAAGCGTATGCAATGGGGGAAACTTTTTCCGCAACCAAAATATTTTTTCCTTTAGTTTTATTTATAGGTCATTCACGCTCAAGCACTCGGACAAGGTTTTGTAAGTTGGAAGATGGAGGTTCTAGCGCAAAGTTCATTTTTCCGTAACCTGCTCGGTCATAAACAAATGCCATTCATTCACATGATTTGCTCTGACCTCAGACACTGTAGCTTTATGGTGACGAATCCCTGGAACAGTATGCATGTTCTCAACAATCCCAGAAGTGTTACAAAGCAAAACATCTAAAATATAGCCCATATCATCAATGCGTGTTCCAACGAAAAAACGTCCAATAAGCTGAAAAACTCTATACAGTTCACCACCAGTGGCACCCCTGATGTTTTCATTATTCCATGCAATGGCTGGAAGATTGAAATCGCCGCCAATAATCATGTGATCACACGCAATCGTTTCCATAGTACTGGAAAGGGACTTAATTGTGTTAGACATTAAATTTGGTGGTCGATAAAAAGAACCAATGGCTAAGCATTTTCCGTTAGTCAGCCTAATCTGACAAAACACAGTTTTGGCATCTTGAGCGTTCACCAGAATCCTGGTAGAAGAAAGAGTTCAACTGGAAGAAGCACGTCGCCACCATGGGAGCAGTGATCACGTCTGTAACATTCGAAACCGTCTGGAAATACCTCCGCGTCACACACAGAACCATCCAACCAAGACTCGGTTCCTATCACCACATTGGGCTGACTCATCAAGAGCAACTAAGTCGTCAAATTTATTTTTTAAGCTTCTACAATTGACAATAACAAGGGAAATCAAGCATGTTGTTCGCGGACATTCACATAACCAGTGCTGGACAATCTGTTTTGTAGCAGGATTGCAGGAAAATTTTACGTCGCATAAAAATAAGCTGTCATCTTTTAGGACTGCTTTTGTTCCCTCTTGCCAACGGGCTTCTGCATAACCCCATATATATTTTTTCTTTCCGCAAACAGGTTTTGAAAAATCTTTGGATATGCTATATGTACGTGGAATTCTTCAGCTTTCGAGCATTTGTTTGGATGTTTTGCTTTTCCTTAAAAGCTCTGAAGTTAACCATATTCGGACAGTTTTTTTGAGCAGAGAACATGCCCAATTTATAAGCCTGCTCAATCCCAACAACGTCAATTCCTAACTCAGATTTACAGAGCTCCGTAACAAGTGCTTCCAATGCACAGGTGTTTCCTGTGAACTGGTGTCTTGAATTCCATAGAAATTGAGATTGCATCGACGACTCCGGTTTTCCAAGTCATCAAGCCTCGCGGTAAGAACGTCCAGGTAATTTTGCTTTTAATGCCATTTGTTTTTCAAGTCGTTAAGATTCACGCACATCTGCTCGAGTCTTCTAAAGTTTGACTTAATTGAATCTACTCGCGTGTGCAACAACTTGCACACGCGAGTAGATTCAGTTGAGACAAGCTTATTCATCAAGCTCCTCTGGCCATATAAAATTTCTTGAACCTGTTGTTCTGAGAGAGGCCTTGGATTCAGTTCGATATTGCCACACAGCAGCAAGAGCAGTAAATCGAAAGCCACCTGGCCCATCAACAGGAAACGCCACCTCACGCTTGCATGATTTTCATGACACACTCATATTGAGTTATAATACAGTTTCTTGGGTGGAACCCGCAAAAGAAAGACATTGAAATGGGGTTGACAGGGTGGGTCACCAACTTGCGTGAATAGTAAGAATATGGTCAGCCGTACTGCCAACGTCAACAGCTCCGTGCTTTGAAGACTATAGGTTGCTCGTTGACTTTTGTAGGAAATCTTGCTCCAACGTTGCTTGTTCCATGGCACATGGTTCGTTGACTCTGTCAATGAATATTCCAGTCTTGACAGCTAAATGCAGTTAATAATTGCTGTCGCAGATGACTTGCCATAAAAGCAGGTTTTCTTCTGGATAGCACCAGTCACAAGGTTCCGAGGAAAATAGGTCAATCTGCGTGAACAGTAGGAAAAGGGCGACTTGTAGTGCCAACATGTCACTGGTTCCACTCCCCCGAGGCCTACACAAGCATTTGTTGTTTCCCCCTTCATACCTTGCTTCTATGCCACATTGCTCTCAGTTGATGTCTTCTTGTTGTTATTGCCACAAGCATTACATGACTGGCTTTCCACTCTGATCACAATCAGATACAGTGAAGTGATTGCAGTGTCATATGTTTAAAACTGCACCAAGGAATTTGCCCTGTTACAAGTGGTAATTTTGCTTTCCAAGTGCTGAACCCTGGTTACGGGCTCCAACAAGAACCGTGGCCCTCTCCCTGAATCTTACGCGGATATTCTGTGTCGAGTTAGACCTGCACACTCGCCCTGTCACTATGGTACCTCCCGCATGGGAGGCAAAACGTTTAATGAATTTGTTTTTTCTGTTATGTAAATTCGGTGTCCTTATTTTAGTCATGACGTCTCCCAGCTTCTGGATTGTTTCTGCACTTCCGGATTGTTACGGGGGGGCTCGTGAGAATTTTAGGGGCGAAGCTCCTTGGGGTCCAGCCTTGTCCGGCGTCCGTGCTCACATTGATTGCCATCCCATCTGTCTTCTTAAAGAAAAAGAAAAAAATGTTTGTGCAGTCGACAGGATTCAAACCTGTGCGGGGAGACCCCAATGGATTTCTAGTCCATCACCTTAATTTCTCGGCCACGACTGCGGGACGAGTAGGGGGCTCTGAGATATGGTAGTAACGCAAGAGCTGGGGATGTCATGGATGAAACGTTGCATGTAGGCGCTCAACGTCTATACAGGAGAGGGCGCTGCAGTCAAATGCGTATATGATCGCGTTAAACTTTGCATGCATTGGCTCAACGTTTATAGACAAGAGGGCGCTGCGGTCAAATGCTCAAATGCGTATATAACCACGTTCCATACCACACATTCTCTTTCTGACATGGACCGTTGACTTAAGTGGTAGAGATGTGTTCCCACAACTTCTAGTGGATCCAAGCTGATCCACCAGAAGAACCACTGGCTCTGCATTTCACCAACCATAAAGCAGTAATAATGAAGTTGAAATGCAACCTGGAACTCAGCAGTACCTATGAGCAATAAACAAAAATCAGCACCATCCGCACTACCTATGAACAATAAAACCAGTATCATCAGCACCACCAGAGCTTCGCCCCAATCAACATCATTCACCAAATGGAGATGCGGTCGTTTTCTAGTTCTTTAAATTATCACTTCGAATAATGTATTATCTTACTTGATCTTTGTATCGAATGCTGGGATTGCTTGAAAGATATGCACCATTTCTTATTGTTTGTGGCCAGTTCAGGTGGGTCAGCTAGCTCCGTTGAGTCCACTTCTCACCGCGCACCGGTGCACTGCGGAGAAGCGACTCTTAGGGCAAACATCAAGATCCTGCTAATCTCGCTTTGCCGCAGTGCACCGGCGTGAAGGGAAAAGCGCTCCTTGAGTGGGAAGTGCACGCATATCCGTCAGGTCCTGCATTCTACTCCCGTCAGCATGCTAGCTTTGACGGGGCTTTCTTTCAGAGACGCACTGCACGACAATATTTTTGCCGTTGAGGCACGAGATGCTTACCGAGGTCTTCCCGTGGGACATCGCTGAGAAGCAACGCACTCAACGTCGCTGTTGCTGCCGCTAAAATAGTGCGAAAAAGGAGCGAATTTCTGTATTTCTCTACAGAAGGTCAGTCGAAACTATGGTGCCTGCAAAACAGGTCCCCGACCAATGCGATTGGCCTCCCATTCCACCCACGCGTCAAAAGTGGTTTCGAAGTGGCAACAAATGACAGGACAGAAGACGGAGTGTCATGCTGCCGGACATCGCAATCCAAACAATTAAGCAAAAAAATTCTTTAAAAAATATAAATAAATAAAACTCATTCTTGGACGGAAATTGACCACTTTTTAGGGTGCAATAAACACACCAGTCTGGGACCTGTTCTAGGTACTGTAGATGAAACGGCGCAGATTTTTACGTCGTGGTTCGACCATGACCGGAGTGGTTCCTCGAAATTCCAACTGGAGCGCTTCCGCCCAATCGCAGGAGGTGAACCGCGGCCTGGACTGCGACGTGATTGTGGCCGAGGTGCGCGCCACGAGCCACAAGCCGGACGAGATCTATGGCATCATTGAGCGCCTCTCGCCGGGCACCCGCAAGATCGAGCTGTTCGGCCGACCCCACAACGTGCAACCCAACTGGATCACCCTCGGGAACCAGGTGGACGGCGTGCGGCTCACGGACCCGACGCTTATTCACGAGTTCCGCAAGCTCTATCCAGATGGTGACTGCATGAGGAAGCCCCAGTGATGACCAAAGCTTTGAATATGCTGTGTCGTTTTTTTTTCCACGGTTACGGGCAGCTTAAACTGCTGGAACTGAGATCGTGGAGGGAATTCGGTCATGCGGCGTGGAGTGGCAGAAGACCTTTTAGTGGAAGACAACAGTTTTCTTTTGTCATCCACAGACTCTTTCACATCGCTGCCGGTGACACCTTTCAAACCTTTTCTCGTTCTATTGTGTGCAGTGGCCAAATCGTTGACGACATATGGCATTTGTCTCCTTTTGGAGAACCCCACTGGGGAACGGCAGACGGCATTCCTTCGGGTGGCGTGGTTTCCTTGGGGCAACTTCCAGCGAAGTATATTGGCCTGAGGCGTTCCAGCCTCCCTTGCCTTGCTCAAACTTTCTGAAGGCGAGGTGTGCAAAATTTTGAGTTTGTTTTCACGTGGCTCTTAAATGAGCCGCATGACAAGGTTTTGAGGGGTGCTGCAACTGTGGTTATATGGTGGCATACCTTTTCCAGGCCACAATGTCCCGCAGGAGCGATTTCGTAAGTGGCCATAGTAAGCCGTTCACAGAGTCGGGACTTGTGGTGAACGAGTCGGCTGCAAAGCTTGTGGAAACTCAAGTCTAGATGCAACAACCGATGCAGAGCTCAGGTTCTTTGGTGAAGTTTAGGTTCTGCAATACTTGAAGCACCCGGAAAAGAGTTGCATGTTTCGATTTCATAGGTACTCTTTCCTTTCAAAATGTGATCTAGCCCTTGGAAGGAAGTTTTTTTTTTTACTTTCAGATCTTTTTTGGAGGGATGATGATTGAGAATTTTATGGTGCACAAGCAACCTTTTTCTTTTTTTGGGGGGGGAGGGGGGAGGGAAGGGGGGCAGGAGGGCACACAGCTACTGCTCTTTGAAGTGTTGGGAAGATTGCTGAGGAGAATTGGGATGAGGCAGATGAAGAGGGGCATGCAAACCTTGTGCAGTGTCACTTTCACAAAAAAATAGTGTCTGTTTGGCACCATGTGGTCTTTCATGTGATGTGGCATGCTTTGGGCTAGCACTCTATCAAAGCTTGCCTTCTCTCCCACGAAGACATTTATCTGACAACTTTCACTTCCTTACAGAAAACTGTTAATGCTTGTCGGGTGCTGTATCAAGTAAAAGTTACCGCTGTTGGAAAAGAAAAGTATGATGGGGGAAAAAGTAGATTATTGTGGCCCAGACGCTACAGGACCTCAGCCTTGGCACCTAGCAATGATTGTGGAAAATAACGGGTTGTTTAGAACTTTACATAGCCACCTATCAAGCTCCTTTTTTTTTTTATTTAAATATTTTGACAAAGGTGCTCATCTTATCCAGTTTCCTGCAGGCGGAGTCAGTTTATAAAGGTCCCTGTAGGTCAGTTTTGCCAGTCATTCAACAGTATGATTAGTTTAAAGTATATGATTCGAGTCATTTCCTTACGTCAAAACGGCAGTGTCGTGAAGTCGAAAGTAGTCTAATTTAGGTATTGAATTATCAGCGGGTGTCGAGTCTATTCTGCTGCATGTCAGTTATGCCTGCAGTGATCATGCTGCTAATGTAATTTGGCACGCTGTACATGCTGCATTGTTTTTGTGGCCATTTCTTTCTAAGTTCCTGTTGATAACTAGAAACCAACGTTCAAATGGCAAAGAGTACTCAAATGTTGCCAAGAAAATATACAAGTCACTCTGACACTACCAGCATTGTGTGATCTCTGCAGTGTTTCCCCAAAAGAAAATTGCGAATAGAATGCCTAGTATTTCCCGAATGATGCAATTCCGGATACACTACTGCATTTACTGGAGTAATCAATGTGCTGTTTGTGAACCAAGCCTATGCATGCATTCACTTTCCTACAAAGTATGCTGACAGACGCATTGCTTTCGACAGAAGAAGCCCAGCAACTTTCAAGACAAAGATAACGTCCTCTGGTGAAAATGCTATCTACAAAGATCCGACTTTTTGTGGAGGATCATTTTCTCGATCTCATTATTAGCAATGTGCTTTTTAATGTAAAATGCAATGATTTATTCTTTGCATGCTCTGCAGAAAACTAGATATACAGGCCTCGTTCGTAAACAGTCAGTTGATCACTTGTTCACCATGTTCCCAGACTCAGATTACAAAGTCGTTAGCACACTGACCAGATTCATTTGATTAAAATGTTCTAAAACTGCTGGTCGTAAAGCAACCAGAATGTTTTCTTTATTTTATTAAATTCATGTACTAAAGACATAAAAGAAAAACATATGCTAAATAGTAGTAAACTTCAAGGGGTGATGTGTGTACGTGAGAGACCCCGCAGCAGGCGCTCACGCTGTAGTAGAAATCTGTTGAATAGGCAGAAAAATTCCACAGAAACGTCTACCCACAATTTATTGACGGCGTGTGCGAACTACAGGGGGCGCTTCTCTAGCTATCATCATCATTGTTTGCGACGTCATGGGGACTGGGACTGAAGGCGCAGATCTCAGATCCCTCGGCTCATCAGCTCGCTTCATGCGCTGTTGGGGTAACGCACGGCAAAGCTAATTTCTTGTGTTGTGTTTATTTGGTGAAGTAATATTTGTAGTAGGACATTTTACCAAAGTTTGAAATCGCACGTGGCACGCGTAGTCGTGCCAACAAATACTTTTGGCACTGAGGTGTCGAAGTGCTAGGATTGTGGTGTACCCAGTACAAAAAGCTGGATGATAAAATTAGAATATTCGGCGCTTTATCCCGCTACAACATCGACCATGGCAAATAGGGTGTATGTTTTTATTATGATTCGGACAAAATAAAACCAAGGAAGGAATGTCTCACCAAATTACGAATAGGAAAGCGAAATTTGAGATCCTTTCGCGTGTGTGGTAAACACTTCAGTGAAAGCGACTCCATGTATCCTGTTGGTTTCTAAGGGTTCTGTGAGCGCTGGTCTCTTATTAGTTCTGAGTTGATTCCTTCCGGAATTTTGTGAACCAGTAAACAAACATATTCTCAAAGTAGCTGGCAGGAAGAAGCGGTGGCTGGCTTTTGGAGTCGTTTCAACTAAATACCTGCTTATTCACCTGGTCGACTTGAAACGTGTAAGACTCTCGCGATCGAAGTTTAAAGGGATACTTCAACGAAATTTGAAATATTCCCGTCGTGTTCAAAAATAGGTTGAATATGATCCACAATATCCGTAAATGACAATCGCACGTTTGTATTTTGAGCCTAATGGCTGTATTTTTCATTATAAACGGCCCGCTCTGGCAGGCGCTCGGAGAAGGCCCAGCGGAGACCACGTGACATCCAACGCGATCGTGACGTAGGTCGTCTCGGGAAGAGCAAAGCTACGACGAGGCTGACGTCGAGGGGATGGCCTAGTCGTTCCAGCCACCGAAGCGGCTGTTTTTGTACGAATTTTGAGTGACGGATTAATCTTCTATAATCTTGTAGGGGGAGAATAGCGACTTCTGCGACACATAAAAGGCATTCTCGGGAAGAGGGGAGTTCCTCCTTCCCCTCTTCTCTCATCATGGCCGGAGGCGAGACACTCACCGTCACTAGCTGTCAAGGTTCCTAGACTGGCATTACAAGCGAGGCGTTAGCGACATCCACCAGCTGCTCTTTGCTAATGGTTTAATTCATTCTAAAATTCCTTTTCGAGACTTTTTTAACAAGATATTGGTATGTTCAATGTGATACTGCTCCTTTGAACACTTATGGACCAAAAAATGAGCGCCAAAATTTTGTTTTAGTATCCCTTCAAATCTAGCAAGTTGGTGACCCTTCAACGTTGAAAAAATAAGGAATATATTTTCTACAATTGACTATCATTTGTATGTTTAATTTTTGCACACCCAAATACGCATAATGCGTGATGCGCTTCTCAGCAAACAATGTTAAATCTGTAAACAATTCTTAATAGAAATATGAGAGAACAAATTGATCATTCGCCTGAATGTGCCGGGCAATGGCCGACAATCTAACAATTTATGAATATTTTTGCTTTTTCTTTCGAGCAGAAGTCGCGATGTGACAAACTTCTTTGCCACGTATTCGATTCGGGAAGAGCTAAGTGTCAGTTGCTGATGAGCATTTGCTTTGCAGCAACTGTCGAGTCACACTTGGATAGAAGCATTGGTATCGGCAAGCTCAATGTAGCTAAAACAAGAGAGTGGCGCTTTGCAACACAATTGTGCGTGCGTGCATGGCTGAGAAGACAGCGCATCATTTATTTATTTTTTTATTTATGCAATAACCACAGTGCCAAATCAGCCATTACAGAGGGAGGGGGGGGGGGGGGGGGGTTTACGTATAAAAAAAGCATACAATGTCAGTCTGACCTCTGCTCCACGGCAGGTGAATCATTCAAACAGATAAACCTTATAAATCAAACAAGGAACTGGAAGCTTATAAACAAAACATATACACAAAGCTTATAAACCATACAAGGGAATGCAAGCTAATATAAAGAACTCAAGCTAGATTTAATCTAACATGGAAAAAAGTCATCATTTGATAGCACACCAACCACAGACGAAGACAATCGATTCCACTCAGAGATAGTTCTTGGAAAAAAGGACATCCTAAATACCCCTCTTTTGAACGATATTTCTTGCACCTTTAAGCTATGGTGCACACGCTCCGATCGGTAGTGGGGCAGCATTATATACATGCCTCTTTGTATGGCAACTGTCGAATGGTAAATGCTGTGAAAGAAAAAAAAACGAAGACTTCAAGCAACTCCCATTTTAAGATATCTTTTGTGCGTGTCATGCCACGCTAAGTTCTGCAGTCTTTCTAGTTTTATTTTGTCACATACCGTAGGCAGGTCCCAAACGATACATACATATTCCATAACTGACCTGACGTATGTTTTATATTCCCGAGTGTATTGAAGTTTCTGGCATTATGACGGAGAAACTCTAAGATTTTACCAGCCTTGGCGACTACGTAATCAATGTGGGTATGCCATTTTAAGTCAGTCGTGCAATTTACCCCCAGATATTTATATTTACACTGGCTAATGCAAAACTTTTTTTTTTTTTTTTGCTGCAGCTTTCACAGATATGGAAAGAAAAGAATCTGAGAGGTTGTGAATAGCCCTGGGCTCACGCTGCGGTAGCTGTAATGTGAAGCACCAGACTTGTTTTTCAACATTTTAAAGTTTTCTTATATAAAAAGCAACTTCGAGGCGCTGTTACTAGTTAGAAATATCACTCACAAAAACGTTATGCGCGTTTCTTTAATAAATAAACCGCTTTTAATCGGCATGGATGCGAACTACCATAGCCACTCGGTGCTTTGACGTAGCACGTCGTCTGCTCGCATCCTACCAGGTGCGTCACAGGAGGCCACCCGCGAGGTGGCGCCACCGAAAGATCTCGCCTCTGTGACCTGGTGACGTCACGGTCATCTGTTAAGTAGTAAGTTCGAGAGGTGATGTGTGTATGCGTGAGACCAGCTGCAGGCACCTATACGCAGTAGCAGATATCCGTTGAATGAGCCGAAATATTCTGCTTAAACCTGCACCGTGACCTGGTCAACCTGGTGACGATCTGTTACATCACTTTCGTTCGAGAGCGCAGCAGCGCGCCGCCTTTCGCCGCTGTCTATCACGTAGCGCCATCTCTGAACGCTGTGTGCAACTAGGCCTGTCGGCTGCGCTATAAAAAATAGCAGCTGTGCGGAAGGCGCGTGTCGCGCGTGTCCATATGAAGCCGCGAGGGAGAGGCGCCGACGCAAGGGCATCAGGAAGGACAGCCGGGACAGCGCCGCCGACACCGGCCCGTTCCTCGGCGCCGCATCCGGACCGGCGCCGCACGCGACTCGTCGGGGCGGCGGCGCACGCATCGGGTCGCGTGAGGTGCTGACGTCAACCGCGGCACGTGAGCGGCGGCGGCGTGACGCGCCGCGTGACCGCCGGCGCGCCAGACCAGCGGCAGAGCGCGGCGGCGCGGCCGGGATTGTGCGGTACGACGTCGACGACAGCGGGCCGACCATGGACACCGGCTGGGAGCAGGCGCTCCGGCTGAAGATGGAACAGCGGTGAGCGGCCGTCGTCGCGCGTAGCCACCTGAGAGACGACTCAAGTGTCGCCCTCGCCTGTGCAGGAGCCTCAACTTCTGCGCGCTGGCGGCCGAGCGCCGTCGCCAGGAGCTGGACGATGCGGACGTGCGCGGCGGCAAGAAGCCCGCCCGGGTGAGTGGGCCCAGCAGGAGGGCCTGGTTGTTCCTCTGCGGCAGACGTGGTGCCCGGGATTGCAGTCCAAGCTGCGGCCGCCCCCGGCCAGGAGCCCGCCGCTTGGACTGGGATCGAGGGCACCACCGCTTCGGCAGAGTGAGTACCGGGTCGGGCCGCGCCCTGCTGCTGGGCTATCGGGACTGGCGGGCGCCCACTTCCTCCACTTGTTTACGAGCCGCAGAGCGCCTCGCGCGGGTCGCCCGGTCCAAGGACGCACCCCCGAAGGCCGGCGACGCCGCCACACGTGACGGGTCGCCGGTCGTCACGTGGCGCGAGACCGCTGCTGACCGGCTCTCCTTGGCGCCAGCCCCGGGCTTCCGGGACGGCAGCACGGCAGTGCACTGCGCTGACGTCAGCCGCGCGCAGACGGTCGATGGCGGCGGCCGTCCCAAGGTCGGCCCACCGACGTTCACGTGGACGTGCAACCCGACACCCGCCGCCCGAAATAGGGGCCTATTCCGGGAGGGGGAAGGGGCGGCCGTCGCCTCCGCACGTGCGCCCGCCGCGGGCGGCCGCCCCGCTAACCGCGCTGCGACGCCTCGCAGGACCCCATGTCGCACCGGATCATCGAGAAGCGGCGCCGAGACCGCATGAACAACTGTCTGGCGGACCTGAGCAGGCTCATACCGGCCGTCTACCTCAAGAAGGTGCGTCCGCCGCAGGCCCGACGGGGCTCCGAGCCACGGACGACGTGTACCACATCGGTCCTCACGCGCCAGACTTCATTTCTGATTTGTATTTTTTTCGCGGCAGGGTCGCGGCCGGGTCGAGAAGACCGAGATCATCGAAATGGCCATCAAACACCTGCGGCACCTACAGGCTCACTCCTGCAAGGACCCCAGTGAGCGCACGTCTCTTGTTCCTTCCCAGCTGCACTCGCCCCAAAAGCGATCGAGACATTTTTTTCTCTAGTATTTTTTTATTCCCCTGTATAGCAGCTGCCGGCTGCCGTGGCATGATCAAGTAGCCATTGTGCAAGAGTCCTAGAGGCTCCAATATGGGATCTGACGAGACTGAACGATCTTGAAACGGTTAGGCGCACCTTTGCAGGTGTATATACTCTAGCCAACGAAGAAAGACAGCCATACTTTTACTTTCAATTTTTACCATCAATCGTAGGCTGTACAAGCCAGCTGTGGATTGTTTATCGCATTCTATAGCCTTCCATGGCCTTGATGCTGTCCTATGCCTTGCTCTGCTTAGTTTGGAAGCGTAAGTTGTAATTGCTAACATCTCTGCTACTGACGTGAATGTTGCAGAGCATGTTTCCTTTGTGCTGCCATGTTGTCTAAGGGATGCAGATGACTGGAAGGCAAAATATGGGGAGTGGGTGCTTGATCTGTTACTGTGCTCCAAACTGTACGGAGCATTTGTTAGGTGATGCCGGCACCGTAGAAGTGACTCATGTATATACGCATGGTTGCAAGAATAGTCTGTGCTGTACACTTCGTGCTCCCATCTGGCCAACAATTTGAGAGATCAGACCGTGGCACCCCAAGCAGCTAACTTTAGAATTACACAGATCGGCACAACAAATAACAATGATTCAGCGCTCGGCTGACTTAACCAAACACCGCGTTAGTGTTCGACTGGAGTTTGTGTTCTCCAGTTGCCTGAGGGGGAGGAGGGACTCTTTTGTTATCACTTAGGCCGGCATGAACAATGCGCATGCATGCTGCATATGCCCAGCTCAGCACAAAATCCAAAGTGGGTCAAGCTCACATTCTATGACGACTGCTTTTGAGAGATCCACTGACAATAAACGTCACTTCATTTATTGTTAGTATTTTTATGTTAAGACGCGAAGATGGCCATCAGGCCTGTGGGCACGTTCACAGGCCTTGTGTTGGGTAAACACCGAGGTGTGGGGACAACCAACGGGTCAGAGCGGTCGATCTCCTCGCCAATAGTCCTATTCCAAATAACTATATGCTTCAGGATGACCCAAGCTAACACATATTGTTATGCCACACTTGCGTATGTGTCATCTGGTAAAGAACCAACTGCAGTGTGGAAGCAGTGCCATCTGTTCTGATGTAAAACACAATTGTCTGGAGATTTCGACACATTTGTTCTTTCGCACAGTTGTGAACATTACGAGCACACATACATAAATTTGTCTTGGCTTATTCTCGGTGAACATTATCGGAGGTTGAGCCCACAAAAATTGCGTTGTTTCACCCCACTGATTGTTGAGCGCGTTTAGTCATCCGTACCACCCTGACCGAGGCGCAACTTTTTTCACAGCACTTCCTACCAGTGGAGAACATTATGGAGTATTGGGAGTGTCAACCCATTCAGTTTTTTCCTTCGAGATATTTAGATTTTTAATTTCTTACCCCAGACTTTTTTTTTTTTTTTTAAATACATTTAAGGTTAGACTATCATATTTTGTCACATTTGATGAGGCAACATTAGTAGTTTAAACTAAATAGGTGGTAGCCCAAAAACGTCACTGTCTCTTCACGTGGAATGCCTCAAATTGCCACTAGTTCATAGCAAGGAGAGGCTGCTTAATGGCACTTCTCATATTGTGGGACCAAAGTCGCATGGAAACACCAGGCCCATTCGATTCCATGGTTTGCACCAGTGCAGAAAGCATGGCTCTGCCTTATTACAGCTACAGAGTTCTGAAAACAGAAGACTGAACAGTACCAATTTGTACAGGCAACTTGTGTCACTGCAAGGAAAAGAGAAATCTTGGGGATTGCACACAATAATTTATATTGCACTTATTGTCTACTAGACTGTGATATCTGACAATGGTTATAGTCGCCAGCGCGTCATAGACTTTTTTATTGCCATTCTTTTTCCACTGAGTCTTACACTCTTCACCCTTGACCCCCTTTCAGTTCTCCTTCCCCTTTATCCTTTGTACTGGTGAAGGGCATGATGCATGCTTCATTATCTTGTCTCATAAAATTCACCTAGATAAAAGTCACCTAGATTACTCACATCTGGCATGACCTGTCTGCAGATCCCTTGTACAGATAGCATTTTTGCATCTAAACACAATCTAAACTTAGCCATTCATTAATTCATGTATGTTAAGGCGGGTTAGGAGACAACGGCTATTATGTACCTGGAGGGCACCCTTGTCACTGCCATTTTCCGATCTCCTTAAAGTAACCACATGGCCCCTGTTTGTAAGGAAGGTCTTACTCGATTGAAGGAGTACATAAAGACACTCTTAATTTCCTCCTCCCCCCCGAAAAACTTAAGACCAGTTTCCCAAGTGTGCCTCTGAAACTGGTTTTGTTGCGCAGCGACGTGCGAGGTGGCGCAGCGAGTGGACTCGGACCACAGGCTACAGTACCGGCTAGGCTTCCAGGAATGCCTCTCGGAGACTGCCAGGTTCTTGGTTGACCTGGACGGGTCCTGCACCGCGGACGACACCTGCTTCCGCCTCGTGGCACACCTGCAGAAACACTTTGACAAGGTCTCCGGAGCGGGTGAGGCTGCTGCATTGATCTGGCCGCAGGACTTGCATGCTGCTGCGGTGCGGTAGAAGAGTGGCCGGTAGCTTCCGACGGCCTGTCACGGCTTCCACTCGCTTTGCCTTTGCACCGGTTGAATGAATGTCTTTCAGATTGGTGACATGGCTGGGTTGTCAGCCAAGGCTGATGTTTGATTTGCTGTTTTCGCCAATCTGTTTTTCAAAAGGCTGTGACTTCGCGGTTCTTAAGACTGCTGGGGCAAATGTCGTGACCTGTTCATTTTCTAAAAATTTTAAGCAAAGTGTGAAAATTGCTATCGAAGAACGCCGCTAATGTTGAATGGTATGGCTTCTGGGTAGAAGGCTAGCTGGATTTCAGCGGCCACAAATATGTCGGAAGAGATTTGATTTGCATGCAGTTAGAGCGGCAAATCTGAAGTTCTAAGAGGTCCAGCTTCGGAGCTTGATAGTATTTTGCGGGCTAAGATGCACCGCCGTCTCTGCGCTCCCCTCTTTTCACGTCAGCATGGCCAGGCTGGAGAGGAGAGGAGCGGAGAGGTGGTTAAAGGGAGCGAGCTTCTCTGCCCCTTTTCTTGGTTTCGAGGCCTACAAGGTACTATAGCTGCTGTTGCCGCCCAAAAACCTGACCTTTAGGTATGTCCGTTGGCATGTACAAGTTTATGTTATCATGCATGTTGCAGAGCTTCTAGTATCGACGCGCGGTTGCCTCGGTGGAATAGTGCAGCCGTCACCCCGACGAGTGGTGCACAGAACATGGGAAATCCTGGTCGCAACAAATGTTTCCCCGTTCGTACCGCTTAGTAGGTTGGCGGTTACCGAGACAGCACGCGAGCACCCTCTCGTGGCATCTTTTGCAGGGTCCTGCTATCCGGCGGGTCTCGTCCTCTCGGATGAAGAGGCCACCATGGAGCCCCCCGAGCGGCAGCCGAAGCAGGAGCCGACGGCCGCCCTTCCAGACGGCTCATGCTCGTCCTCGTCTTCGTGCTCCTCGGTGAGCCAGCTCCGGGAGATGCTCCAGAACCCCGGCCTGAGCGTCCAGGAGTGCATGCGACGCTCCTCCGACTACCTCCTGGCAGCTAACAATGGCAACAATAACAACAACCTCAACAACAAGCCGCCCACCGCCGAGGAGGCCTACAAGTTCAAGAACGACATCAAAGACCGCTTTCACAAGGACGCGCAGTGGGGCGGCGAGCGCCCCGACGAGCGGCGACACTCCCACTCGCAAGGCTCGTCGCTCGTACCCGTGCCCAGCCCGACCCGTCACACGGTGTCTGCGCCCCCGCCGGACCCGCCCCCCGAGAACCCGTCGCCCGGACCCGGCCCCGGGGTGGCGGCCTTTGCGCTCCACCCCCGGGGCTCCTTCTACATTCCCGTCACCCTGGACCCGACCCTGGTGGGACCCGCCCTTGCCTATGTGGACGAGTCGCCGCAGGCTGCGCTGCACCCCGTCAGTATCTCTGTGCAATTTGGCCGGCAGAGGCCCCTGGGTCCACCGCCGTGGCCCCAGTGCCCCTGGAGGCTGCGTCTTGGAGAGCCCAACGGCTGTGCCTGAGGCCCTCGGGGGGGATCACTGGCACAGCTTGGGGCGTCAGTCGTAACTTATTGCACCCCTTATTTATGACCTTCGTTGAGTTTTCCGAGTCTATTGTTGAGGAGCCCACCAATAAAGACGAGCCTTGTTGAATCTTCCACGTTTGCCCCGTGTGTGCGTTTTCCATCTGCGCTCCCTCTGTTACCGGTTTTGACTCTGTCTAGCCTTGTTACCTTTTGAGGGCGGGGGAGAAGCAATTTCTGAGGTTAAACTTTTTTTTTTTTTTAAGTTGCTGCGACGGTTAGGTCGACGTTTGTTTTATTCTAGTCTCAATGCTGTGCACGCAAAGACTTGATGCACGAGGGTTGTGCAATGAGTGCTGTTACCCTGAACAAATGTGCCATTTACAACGTTTCGAGTGTTTTTAAGGTTGGTTACATGCCATTGTTCTTAGTTGAATTGCCAAATAAAATGCCACTGCCGCATCATTGACGAAGCATGTCTTTGCTGGGTTACGGTTTCTTTTGTGAAATTGATGAGACATCGGCTCGTATCACATGTTGGCTGCTTTTGCTTTGCGGTTTCTTTACAAAACACACCTGTTTGGAGGAACAATACTTCCAGGCGAATTGGTCTGCACCAGCTGTGCTACTCGTTAGAATTTCTAAAATTCGAAAATGCGAGGCATCTTGCTAACAGTTTAGCAGTGTCAAAATGTGCTTGAAATCTGAAAACAAGACCCGCAGCTTGAGTGACGCAAGCCCAACTCCCAACTCAGATTGTTTTTATTTGTTTTCGAAAACCGGGGTTGAAATGTATTTCTTTGCACCCGTAGAAAGTTAACGGAAATGCAGGCTGCTGTAATGGCACCCTTGTTCCTAAATATCGGCAGCTTATTTTTGTTCTTTATTTACTGGAGGAGAAAAATTATGGCAGTCTTGTCAACCCGGGTTATTGGCGGCTGTTGAGTCGTAAAAGTTCAAACGTGCAAAATGGTCGGGCCTTTGCAACAGACTGCGACGGCGGTTATCTTTCCAAAGGTGTCTGTCGTATCTTTTGTGCGCAGATTCACGCATTTGTTTGCTAACTTCTGGGCCGTTGACCTGCTGTGTTTGCAACCTGAAACCAGGACATACAAGCTGCCAGACTATTGTCGTATTGTCTCTGCTTCGGGAGCAATACAGTTTCCCGGGCATAGCGTGCTGGGACAAGAGATACAGATGTAATCAAAAGCGCACGTTTCCAAAGCGCTTAAAGGCCGACGAGTAGCCAGAAAGGTGGAAACTCTCCCTCAATTTCTCCTTTCCATTTGAGAAAGAAAGACCGTCCTTTCTGTTGGGAGTGGTGTTGGGGGTAGCTCGGGGACCTGCTCGTGTGGGGAGAGGAAGAAAGGAGTGCAAGAGGGAATGGAAACGACCATTTTTTTTTCCACGCAGATGATTCGATAGGTTGGTCTTCAAGATAAATCTGGTTGTAACCCTTACGGTCCCGTGCACCTCTCGAGTGCTTAGTTTTCAGGACTGCCACAGGTGCCTTGGTTTGTGGAAATCATGAAAACATTTGACTGATATTTAACTTGCTATGTTTTCGACAAAAATGCATCGAAATGCTGGATTTGTGTTGTGCTTTTATGGAAGCTCTTTTAGGTGTTGATGTGCGTGGAAGGGACGGTGTAGTACTGTGGCAAGACACCATGGATGGTTGTAGAAAATGCCTGTGACAAAGCTTGGGATGTTTGCCTTCAAAATGATCAGAGCACCGAAACAAAGGGGCCATCTAATCGTTTTGTGTTTGTAAAGGTGTATACACATTAATTCCATTTTTTATTAGCTAAATAGTTTTTTGAGAGAAAAAAAAGCTAGAAGAAAATAACTTCCTTGGGCAACAATATCTGAAAAGATTGTGCGGCTCACTTTAAAACTGGAATGAACGATTCCAAACATTTCTAAAAAAAATTGCTTTGCCAACGAGTATCTATGAAGGTTCCAAGTTCCATCACAACCTCCCTCCCTTTCTATCGAAGGATCCTGTGCTGCTGGAGGTCTAATATCCCGAGGGACAGCCTACCTAAAACCGAAAGCAAATCTTGTGAAAATAAGGAGTGGGCTTACTTTAAGTGTATGATTGAAAAAAGTTGAAAAGTTGGAAAAAAGATTCTGCGACCTCCGAAACTTTTAATCGCAGGGAGGGGCAATAAACCAGACCTTCTGAGCCTACAATGTTCATTTATCTCCCATCGTGGAACACCATTTCTGCCGAGGTCACCATTGGTGTTATTGAGAAAAATAGCGAATCGTGCCAAAAAGAGGGGTGGGTTATTTTTCGGGGGTGGGGCCTCTCGGGATATTGCAATAGGATTTTAATGCGAAAGCATTAACCGTCGCATGGAGCGAGATGACGTCATCAGTTTGAAGCGCGAAAACGGCACCTAGTTTCCGCAATCGCCTTCGGTTTCATTGGCTGGCGCGCGTCGACAAGGCTCCCATTGGCCGCTACGCTCGTCAGTTTCCACGACCGCTCGCCCCATAGCGCTGCATGCATGTACATCAGCGCGCCGTTAACACGGAGCGTCCAAGGTCACCAGGGGAACATGCGCGCCAACCGGCGACAAAAAGTATGCAGCAGACGAAAAAGGGACGAGCGGCTTGCATGCTTTCGCATTCACAACTCGTAAGAAGGGCTTAGGTGCACCTCGAGCTTTTTTTTTCATGACTCTTAAATAGTTAAAGTTGAAATAAATATGGGAGTTCACATAAACTATAAATTATGACAATCATGACTTAATACGAGTTATCTCGGCATAGAAAGGATTGCAAATACCATTTTATGCTTTATATTTTGTACGAACCAGGCGACGGAGCGTTGAGCACTAAGAATCGCCATGGCGAGACCTTTAGATTTTAAAACAACATTCTGACAAACCAAAAACATTTTCGTTTTTTCTCTTTCTCCAATTCTGGCACACGAACATGCCTGGAAGGATACGTTTTTCTTCGAACGCAGTTGTGCGGCGGGAAAGTGGCACTGACGACAGCACTGCCATGAATGCCGCTTGTCGTAGTAACTGCACTCAACGGAGAGAGCTATGGGTAACAGGAGTAGTTCTTATCTATGATTGCGCACGCCACTTTTATTATACTCAGCTTCATAATGTAAGTGTTCTTAAGTATTTATGCTACAAAAGTAGGAGTTAACTACGAGAGTACAAAGCTAAGCACATGGAAAACGTGAATCTGGCTGGCTTGGCTGGCCGGCGTATGCGCATGCATTCCGCGGCGGCCGCACCGTTTTTGAGGAGCAGTTTCAGCAATTCCCGAGTTCCAAACACACTTTTCTCTTTCAACGCGCTCTTCCAACATGACGGAAGGTGCGAGCTGTTCCAGCTTGCGAGAAACTATCTGTGAGGTTTCAGTTGCTTCATGTAGTGCCTGGACTCTGGTGGGCCTCTGTGAAAGGAAGAACAAGCGGATTCCCTCCACTGTTGCAGCGACGGACAGCGGTGCGGGGCGCAGTCGGTCCTGTTCGCCCCAGGATTCCCACGTAGCATGAGAACATTCCGGGAATGCTCAAAAGAACATAGCAACATTCTTGGATGTTGCAAATTTACGTAAGAACATTCTACCAACGTTGTTGGAATGTGGCGCAGGCACTTATCGCTACATTCAGGGAATGTTTTCTAAGGGACATTCCTAGAACGTTCTGAGAACGACGTAGAACATTACCAGGGCATTCAGTCAACATTCAAATATCCTAACAAGGTTCTAAGAATGTTCTCAGAACATCCAAAGAACTTCTACAACTTTCTTGAAATGTTGCAAATTTATGCAGGGACATATCCTTTCAATCTCCTCGGAACGTGGCGTGGGGACATTGTTACATTCAGAGAACATTCTCTGAGGACTATTTACAAAGATTCCACAGTTACGGCTTGTTTAGGCTACAGCCCCAATGAGCCGCACTATATATATGGATGTGATAAAGCTCCTCACAGGGAAATATTTTTTAATCGAAACTAATTTTTAGAAGGCGCAAGCACAAGCTAGCCGCTTTCCCAGCGCACCAGCCTGAGCACATGCTAATGACAGTTTACTCCTGCCCGTCACTTGTCAACTTCTTTCATTCAAAATGTGCTGTATATATAACCGATTACTCACTCAGAGTTTAATTAAGAATGAATACACATGGTATCCCACATTCAACTGGGAAACACCTTTTTCAAAGTTTTAAACCTCAGATACTAAAAATCAAATCCATTCAAAACTGTCCCCCTACACACGCAGTGAGCGCCAAGTAGTTCATTATCAAGTTTTTAAAACCACTGCTTTTCTACTACATCTTATATCACAACCTTATGCTAAGTTTCTAGAAACTCCACTTAATTTGCATATTTATGGCACAAAGTGGCATATATATAGTGAATGGTGTTTCGAACCAAAAGTTATCTGAGAGCTCCTTAAAGTCGGCTTCACCTGCGAAAATTCTAGGTATGTTCGCAAGCGAACGTTCCAAGAAGGTTACGCATATGAATGTTCGAAAGGGAACGTTCCAAGAACATTATGCATACGAATGTTCGCCAACGAACGTTCCTAGAATGTCGCGCAGCTTAAACGTTCCGAATGGTTTAAATGCTGCTTCAACGTTCAGAACATCTAGGAAATGTTCGCACAACATTAGTTGCTACCTGGGAAGTGGGGCCGCCCCTTTCCCAGCACGACGCCACCAAGCAAGAGTCGTCCCGCGGGTGGCTGAAGGAGCGGAGGCGAGAGCGAGTGCAACCGTCCAGAGGGTTTCTTGCCGTCAAGAAGGGCTGCCTCACCAGTGAGGGTGCCCACCTGACCCAGGGGCAAGGGGCTTCTTCAGGCATGCAATCTAAGGCCCTTTATAGAAATCGTGGTCCATGTTGCTTACAGGTACCGATAACCATTGTGTGAACCTGCTAGACATGTGGCACGAGCGAGTGCCTCGCTGCCATTTGTATCACAGGCCACACGCATGCATTTTACGCTATACTTGTAAAACAGACGCGTCAAGGGGCTGTAGTGCAACCTGTATCTCTGCCACATGTGAAAGATACTCGGCTGGCTCGAGATGCTCCTCCAGTTGTCATTCGGACATCCTATGTGCTCTTCTTTCGATAATGCTAATGTGCCAAAGAACATAAATGCAGAATAATAATAATAATAATTGGGATTGTGGATATTTATACACCGTGCAGTTGGTCAGCCATTTCAAAGTTGCGATGAGTCACTCGCTGTAGATCAACAATTTAGCCAGTGCATTAGAACCGCTAGCCTGGGTTCTTTAACGTGCATCACGCAGTAGTGATACACGACCGAACGCCGGTACGATGCTCATCCAGATCGAAATGGGCAGGGGTGGGGATTGAACCCAGCATCCCTGGGTTCTGCAGCGATAGCTTTCGCTCCACGTGCTCCGAGCTGACGTGCGCTAGCCCACTTGGCAACTGATCCCCCCAAGGTGAACGCAGAAAGAAGACGTACAGAGTGTTCTGTGTTTATGCTCTTTGCTGCTTTAATTTCTGAAATGTTACAGCCAACTAATCTGCCTTGCAGCTCATTCTCTTGTTCCGGGCATACCGGAACATTTAGCAAAAGTTTCACACAACCTTATGAGGCATCTGCAAAGCATTTTGGGAACCTCGCGAGTCTCAAGAATCCCGTAATTGTTACCGGTGGCACTTGTGTTTGGGAAATCGTCTACTAAATATTTCCCAAATTACAACGAAACTTCAATGACCGTAACTGCACCTTTGTTATTGTTTTTGGAGTAACCTGTAACTTATTTTTATTATAGTACAGTGATGTCTCGTTAACATGGACACCTCCGTTCCCGCAAAAAGATCGTCCATAATGTGAGTTGTCCATAATAACGAGTCAAAAATGCATTTTACAGCGGAGCTGTTAAGGGCTAGTTTCCCCAGGATTGTGACCCCCGCAAAGAAATGTCGACACAAAACTCTGGTTGCCGCCGTCGCTCATAGATGGTGGTAGCTGTCCAGAGTGTTGTGTTTGCCGGTTGTCCGCTTGCCGCCGTCGTTCATAGATGGCGCAACCTTTGGAGCCTTTCCACTCTGGCGTGCCGACTTGCGGCTGGCCATTACTTCATTCCCATCATAGTACAGCTTCGCTGGTCTTTCTTCTTCACCAAAGTGGAAAGGCTAAAAGTTTTATTTTACCAGTTTGTCCCCGAAAATGGTGTCCATATAGCGGGGTATCCATATTAACGGGACATGACTGTAGTTACTTCTAGACGTTTTATTAACAAATCGGCGATTCTCAACACATGTTTTTAAACCACGGCTTTGTGGTTTGACTAAAAGGTGCTGTGAATGTTTGACCTGCTTGTGTACACTGCAAACCTGCCTCAACAGCTTTGTGGTCTAGCCACAAGTACTGTTGATTTCATGCTTATAAAAGCTATCACAAGCCTAGCCTGAGATGATCTGGGGCATCTGTGCAGTGCTCTTTTTCCGGAACCAAATGTCCCCAGATGCTTTGGCCTTCTGAAATGAGACGCATTGAGTTGCTGGATTTGGGTGGCAGTTTCGTGGGAGCTTTTTAAGGGCCATAAAAGCGAGAAGTTGACATATTCTGTGCACTTTAGCAAAACATCATAAATGGTCCTAGGTAAAAAGAAAAAGTGATCATAAAAAGGTAAGTTTGCTTTCTTGGGATCTTGTTAGTTTGGCCGACCTACATTTTTGAAGCCTCTAAAAAAGCAAAAAGTAGTTATGAAAAGACAAAATTTTGTTAAGTAAAGCAGAGGACTGTTAACTTGCCTTGTTTTTGTGAGGGTTTATCTACTTTAACATTTGTTTCAGCAGATATTTTGTTTTAAATAAACTCAACAAAAAACAACTCCTCAAATGGTCTTTCAATGTTAACGAGAAAAACAAATTAAGTGGCTCACTTTAAAGCAAGCTGTGGGACTCTAACAGTGTTTCCAGCAGACATGCATTGCTGTAAACGTTATGCAAAATTGTGAAGTATGAACGAGCATTTGTATGTCCGACATGCCTCTAAGTAAAATGAATGTTTTTAGAATACCTTTGAGGTATTTGGCTACAAGCAAAAGCCAAGAAAGTTTCTAAAAAGCACACAAAGCGCAAGTCATAGCAATTCATGGAAGGATGATTGCAAATGACGAAGTGGCAGTATAACACTGGACATCAGAAATGGGATCTGCAGTTTCAGAGTGCACGAATGTCCCACTCGGTATCCCAGCATGAACCAGTTTCAGATCTAAACATAATCGGTGCCTAATAATTTTCTAGGCTACCAGACTTGAGGGCTTGGCTCCTTCTACAAAAAAAGGGTGACTTCCATTCGGATAAGTGTAATACTAGGATCCCAGGTAAACCTGTCTAACTGGAGCTGGATTATGGAACTGGACCCAGCTGGATTAAGTCTAACTTGATGGTAAAGGGGGCTCATCAAGCTGCATCTGAGCAGCTTTTTTCTCTATCTCCTTGTCACACACTTGATGGTAAATAAGAATTTATTATTATTTTCAGCTGGGACCAGTTCCATAATACGACTCTAGCTGAACCGAACTTCACCTCCCAAGCAAGGAGGCGCAGAAAGAAAAAGAACCGAAATATTGTCTCTACTTTAAATTCCGTTCGCAACTCGCACCACAGTGCGGGGATCGAGAAAAACAAGATAATATCTGCAGCTGAATTCGTCAAACCAGCAACAAGAGAAAAAAAAATTATACAAGCTTGATCATGCTGACAAAGACTGTACAGAATGTGTGATAGGCCTTCCAGGGAAGAGAAGGGTGCCTGCATGGCACCGCCTACCGAAGATTTCTGGCACGCGCCGAGCAGCGAGACGGGAAAGGCCGCAAACGACCACACCCTTGCATGTCACGCCAATTAGATTACTTTTATGTGCTCCGACCGCCGACCCTGGATAGCTCGGTCGGCAAAGCACTTGGCTCACAATCTTGAGATGGGGAGTTGAAATCCTGCCGGGGGATTGGATCAAATTACACCCAGCTGCTTCAGCAAGCTGCTACTGCCGGCCGTTACGGCTGCCCTTGCAAAACTCTGAAAATTGGCTAATAAAAAATGCTGTGTTAAAAAATAACATAGGTACCAAGGGTCATACCATTCGGTGTCGGTGGACCCTGCTGAGTTAAAAGGACTTCTAAATACCCCCCAACCTCCAAATTTAAAAAAAAAAAAATTTCTTTTGTCATGCGATTTAGTAGTGTTGTCAGAAGACTACCCAATGAATATTTTGCCACAGAGTTAAGTATATTTTTAATAAGGTAAAAGAACAGAACTGCTCGAAAAAGAAACATGCACATGGAGGCCCGGAGGAGAGAGTTGCCGGAGGTCACGTGGCTTTCGCTCCCTACCCAGTTTTTTTCCGTTCCTTCCCTTCTTGAGCGTGTGAAGCAGAAACCGACCATGAGGATGTGGCTTGAACTGTTTGTCGTGTGATTGTTTCTCACTTATACCCTTTCCCCTCGCTGTTCTGTGCTTGAAGATAGATCGGCCAGTACCACCAACCGCAGTTCTGAAGTGGCGGTCCCACATCCACTGCAACGTTGGTCCGTCGTGTGCCGCCATCACGTCGTCCAGCCCGCGGCACGTCGCCATTTTGAGATTGACATGTACATCTACTTCCTGTAATCTTTGCAACATTTTTTTTTCTTTTTTTATCAACGTATTAGTTGCTTGGAAGCCGCAGAAAATGGGGTTCATAATCTTTTCTATTTTTAATATCGAAGGTATGCCTTAGATGACGGACTTTGAATATATTTGGTATGCATCAGTTTGAATGGCATGTGGTCGTGAAAAAGAGTGAGCACGCCTGAAACCGGCCAATTCTCGACTGGCAGTTTTGGGCGGAAAGAATATGAATTTCAAGCCACAAATTGTGTTCTGGTTAGTTAGGCTCTTGTCGGTCGTGTTCAAATAAAAACCTCGACGAGCATAAACACCCTGTCAGTGTCCCTCTAAGTGTTGCCTCCAGCTGGGACCAGTTTCATAATGTGGCTCCAGCTGGACTGGCCTTAACAACTTAAGCAATGAGGCAAAGGAACTGAAATACCTTCTTTACTTTGACCTTCTGCTCTCAACTTGCACCTCGGTGCGGGGATCGAGAGAAACGAGAAAATATTCATAACTGAGTCCGTCAAGCAAGTAACAAAGAAAAACTAAACCAAGAGGGGCCGAGAGTCTAGTCAGAGTCGTTCCACTCTGTGTCGGTGGTGCTAGTGTTGTCCTCGGAGTCTCTCTGGTGCACGGGGATGATCTCAAGGACTCGGTCAAGGGGCGAGGTCACCTGGGGCACGGGGGCGGCACGCCTCGAGCCGTCCTGGTCACCCGAGATGCCCTTGCGGCGGAGCTGCAGCTTGCTCCGCAGGTCCGACATGAGGTCTCCGGCAGGAGCCGCTGCCTGTGGCAAGGAGCGGATGATGTGGGTCTTCAGATCGGATCGCCGAGAACTCTATCGGTTCCCCAGAGTACCCCGGGGTGTTCCCCGAGTGCCAAAATTGTTTCTACCATCCGTACCGCTATTGTGCCTAGAACGTGTCTCCGACTGGTGTGTTTAGCGTCCTATCCTGCCCATACATGACAAGTGGTCCCGAAAGGGCAACGAATGACGTCACAGAAGCCGGAGTGCCATGCTGTCAGATGTCACAATCCTGGCGGTTGGTCGTAGAAATGCTGGTGAAAAGCATGAGCGAGCGCGAGTGTCGCTGTCGTCAGGGCGTCCCAACTTCTGGCTGCTGAAGCTCCCGTGTACCGTCACACCGGAGAGCGACCTTCAGCAGAAAAAGTGTCTGCTGCACCACCAGGATCGATCGCGACCGGCGACAGCGTGACACTTTTATGACGTTACCAGGCGGAAATCGAGGGACCACTTTTTTGGGACGTGGTAAACTCGCCAGCCGGAGACGCGTTCCAGGCACTATAGTACCGCCAACTGGAGTGTCTTTCCACTACAGTCGAGACCGGTTATAACAAAGTCGGTTATAACGAAATAGCGGCTATAGCGAATTAATCACAATTTCCCATTCCTGTTTGCACTTTTGAATACATTTCTGTCTGTTTTTAGCAAAGGAAATTGAGCGGCTCCCACGGATATAGCAAAAAAAAATCCTGTTATAATTTAAAAAAAAAAAAAAATGGTAAGTTGGAAACGTTTTCTAAGTCTCAGCTGCCGTATTTATGCTTCCACAGCTGAGCAGCCACCCAGAACTAACCGCAGACGATGCTGCAAAAGCCACCGGCGGCAGCCTTTGCATCGTCTGCTTCCCGCTCGTTATCTGGGAAGCTGCTTTTCTGCATTGAACGTGGAGAAGCTCCCATGGCATGTTGATAGGGTCATTCGGAGCGCTAGCGACAACGTACCGGCAGAGATGATGAGAGAGTCTAGATTTTGAAGACTGAGTCACACCAACCATTGACGGCATTTGCAGTTTAATGGCAGACGCCTCCTGGGCAGATTGGCACAAGCACACCTGCATTTGGTTGTCGCGTGGCCAGTGTGGCGAGGAAACTGGGCAGAGAGGCGGACATGTTTGCAGAAGGCGAACGCTTTTGAGACTCCTTCCCCGCTCTTGTGTGAAAGTTGAACTTCGCTCAAGCACCGATTCGGCGAATCATCGCCACTCAACGATGGTGAGGACCGGCACCACCGGCACCTCGACGGGGAAGACAAAGGCAATCTCCTTGAACCAAAAGCGTGCCATCCTTGACAAAGTGTACATAAACGTAAAAAACACCGTCCACCACCGGTGTCCTCCGTGGCAGCTGTCGCAGCTGTAGACACAATCTGTACATAGCTCGCAGGATTTTTTCTCGAGTGCGTGCAGGGAAGCCTTGACCGTTTTCTGCAGGCACAATAAAAGTGCCCGTGACGGCCCGTGTTGTCTTTTATTTTTTTTCCGTGTTACTTTTATGAGTCCAGATATAATGAAGAGGTGGATATAGCGAAGTGATTTCAGATTCCCGTTGACTTCGTTATAACCGGTCTCGACAGTATGTTGCAAATTCGAGCCATGCATTGATGCGCAACTATGACACAAAAATTGTCTATGTGGTGTCTGGGTTACGGCTAACAGAGCCTAGGCTTCTGAACCGTTCTAGTTCATCACTTACGAGGGGATGAAAGTTCAATGACTGTCACTACAGGGGATATTACAGGCAATTCAAATGAGACTCGGTTATTTCGTTTGGGAAACTAATTGCAACTATAATCGGTGACAAGTTAAGAGTTCAGGGGAAGCTGCTCTTACTTCTCCCCACTTTAGCGAAGGAAATACAGGAGAAAAGGTTACCTCCTCTCCAGCGTTCACTTCGCTAAAGTGGACAGAGGTGGGGGAGTTTCTCATGAACTGTTATTAACCTGTCACCGACTATAGATATGTGTGGCTTACGTTTTAGCTCAAGTAACTCAACTAATGACTTTTTAAGCATAACCTTTACGGCTTCGACAGGTATATGCCATCTTGCACATTCTTCTCGCACGTACAGCTACGCCTTGCCGACCAGTCGGGTTTTACGCTCAGCTGCTTCGGGCGCCAAGACAGAACGGGAGGCCACCTCACCTGCTTCTTGTGCTGCTCCCTGCGGGCGCTGCGGAGGGCTGCCTTGCCGCCGGCCTTTCGTATCGACTCGAGCAGGCTGGCGCGAGCGCTGCCGTCTTCCGGCACCACATCTCGGCAGGGCTCGCTCACTGCCTCCTCGGTTCTCCTGTGCGGGAGAAGAATGAGGGAGTGAGTGGCATATTAGAAATGTGCATTGGGAAGACCCTGTCCTACCATAATGTCCCGAAAGATGCCCCACCCTCGAAAGATAACCCACCCCTATTTTTGGCACGATTTTCTATTTTTCAAAAACACCGAGAGACAGTCCACTGTAGGGCCTCCGACCAATGGTGACCTCGGCAGAAATGGTGTCACTTAGCCACGACGGGAGATGAGCGAACATCGCTGACTCGGAAGGACAGTCGTCTCCTGGTTTATCGCCCCTCCCTGCGATAACAAGTTTCGCAAGTGACGGAATCTAAAACTAGTACTTATTCATTTATTTATTTCAAAATACTGCATCCTCGATGAGGTCATCGCAGGAGTGAAAAGAAAACATACATTTACATTCAAAAAGGCAAACAATTAAAGATGTACACACCCTACAAAACAAAAAAAAACACAACTTAGAAAGCCGTGAAAAATGCAATATAGTTGGAAAATAGTACAAAAACAATCACATACACTTCACTAGTACTCACAGGCACCATACCAGAACATTTGCTGCATTTCTAATACAAATCTATCAAAATTGAGATAACAAACTTGTCCATTTATCGTAAAATACCGGGCAAGCGCCCACTCAAACTTTGGAGATAATCGCAAAAAAATGGGGGATGAGCGCTTGTCCGGTCATCAATTTTACATATAAATATACTGTGCGTATTATCTCAGATCTTACAAATTTGGTAATGGGCGCTTAATGTAGAATGGGCGGTTGCACGGTATTCTACGGTATGTTGTTCCAGCTTTCTATCGTTCGAGGAAAAAAAGAATATTTAAAACAATTAGGTGGGCCCTTAAAGGTACAAGATTTAAAGGATGGAAGCTTCGAGTACGTGATTGAGCAACAAAACCAACATATTTTTCCCGATCAAGTGCACAGTCATTATTCACTGTTTTGTGTAGGAGCTTAAGTCGTTCTACAGAGCGGCTGGAATCAAGAGGCATAAGCCTTATGTCAGTCATGGAAGATGTAGGAGAGCAATTGCAGTCATATCTATTACAAATCAATCTAGTTGCCTTTGCTTGTATTGCGTCAATCTGCTTAATATCACCCTTTAGATACGGATCCCACACCACACAACCATACTCTAAGATAGGTGAAATCAAGGTCTTATACGCCATTTTTTTATCTCCCTTAGTTGAATAATCTAAGGCTCTTTTGACATATCCTAGCCTTTTCAGAGCATGAGAACAGATAAAACTAATGTGCTTATCCCGTTTGAGACTAGGCGTGAACAAAATACCCAAACACTTGTATTCATGTAAAGAATAAAGAAATACGCCAACCAAAAAGTCGAAAAATTGTCCCAACGTTTCGAAACAGTTCGTTTCTTCCTCAGGGGCGACTAAACGGGATAATAGCTTCTTTGTCTTTCTTTGAACTGGCTATCTCTTCTTCTTCATTGTCGATTGCTGGTTGTCTTCGTTTCGCCTGCGCCGTCTTGATTGTATCTCGTAACCCATGAACATATAAACTGGGTAAGGTGCCTAGAGACCTATTGATGTTATTTGCGGTGTTTTGAATATGCCAGGATTCTATCAGCTGTCTTCTGCGTAGGTTCGTCTCAGTACCCAGAATGCTTGCATCTTCAAATCCGATACGGTGGTCATTAACTTCACAGTGCTCCGCCAGAGCACTGCGTTCGCGGTCGAAGTTGCGTACGTCATTTTTGTGTTGACGGAGCCGTTCTTGGAAGTTTTTAGTTTCTCCAATGTAGGAGGCTTGTATTCATGGACTTAACACAGAATTATATTACCAGTACCATACCTAAAAACAGACGGCTGCTTTTTATTAGTAAATGTCATACCGACAGATTTATCGAAATTAATTTACATCTGCCACTTCTGATTCAAATTAAAAAAACTGTACAAAAGAGTCGTTTAGCAAGGCATGGTCATCTACAGAGTTGATTTCGTTGTTCAAAACGCAATCATCTGCATAGAGGCGAATTTTAACTGGAAGACCATTTGTAACATAGTTAATTAAAGTAAAATCAAAAGAAGTCTTAAAACCGATTCCTGTGGGACACCGGAACTGAGACATTACTAGAATGAACATCCCTATATGAGACAAACTGTGATCTATTTTTTAGATAACCTTCGATCCAATTAACTAATGACGTATTATTTAATGTCGCTCGTAGTTTCTGAAAAAGCTTATGATGTGAAACTTTATTGAAAGCCTAGAATAATCTACAAAGATGGCATCAGGTGTTTTTTTTTTTCTATCTAAAGCTAAAGTTATGTTGTGAGTGAACTTAAGAAGTTGGGTTGAGGTGGAGTAGCCACGACGAAAACCATGCTGTTGTGGGCAAAGAATAAATTTAGTCTCGAGCAACTCGGATATCTGCTTATAGACAATATGTTCCAAACGTCTGCATGACGACGATGTGAGCGAAATGGGTCTGTAGTTTGTAACCACCTATTTGTTGCCTGACTTGAACAAGGGGATGACTTTAGCCGACTTCCATGACTGAGGAACTGTTGCAATAGAAATGAAGTCCAAAGTGAATATCGGCAAAGAAAAGAATTTGGAATTCCATAAGGGCCACGACTTTTCTTACAGTCAAGTTTCATTAGTAGACTGAGGACACCAGAAACACTAATCTCTAAATCAGATAATGGGTATATACCATCAAAGAAAAAATCAGGATCCCTGCCGTTATCACGACTGAATACAGATTTGAAATAATCCTTAAAACAGTTCGCTTTCTTTGATAAGGATAGATAACTGGGCGAGTTGGTGAGAGTTCATGTTGAAAAACAGCGCGACTGGGACAAGGACACAAAGAGACGAAGAGAACACAAGAGAAAGCGCTATCAACTGGTTTGTTATTACAACATAGAGAAGAACGACAATGAAATGAAAAACATGGAGTCAAATGTTCGCGCACTTGCTTGGCGCCTCGTGGAATATGTCCCTTTCTTCTTTTTTCATCCGATTGTAGACTGGTTTTCTTCTTTCTTTCCTCAGGAGCTTTTGTTACCCTGAATTCAAAAACTTCATCTTGCTGGGAGTCAGAGTCATCGAAGGTTGGCTCACACGAACTGTTGTTCTTCGTCTCCCTCTCGACCAAACATGTTGAGAAATGGTAGAAGCCTACAACATCACGAGGAACAACAGTTCGTGTGTGAGCCAACCTTCGGTGACTCTGACTCCTAACGAGATGAAGCTTTTGGATTCAGGGTAACAACAGCTCCTGAGGAAAGAAAGAAGAAAACCAGTCTACAATCAGATGAAAAAAGAAGAAAGGGGCATATTCCACGAGGCGTCAAGCAAGCGCGCGAACATTTGACTCCATTTTTTTCATTTCATTGTCGTTCTTCCCTATGTTGTAATAACAAACCAGTCGATAGTCAGCGGTTTGTCTTGTGTTCTCTTCGTCTCTTTGTGTCCTCGTCCCAGTTGCGCTGTTTTTCAACATAATCGCTATCTTTGTCAGCTCACTTAAAGATTCACCTTGAATAGTAAAACTCTGCAATATATTACATTTTAAAATAATAGACCTCCAAAATTGTTTCAACTTTTTTCGGTCGCACACTTAAAGATACCCCACTCCCTATTTTATTTCGATTTGCTTTCAATTTTACGTGGGCTACATCTCGGGATATTATGGTAGTTCCCCAAAATTCCAGCTTTCCGGTCTGCCATACGTAGAGAATCTTGGGACAAACTATTCTTCATAGTGACTGAATATGGGGCGTGGCCTATCACGCTCATGCTTCACGATTGCTTTTTTGGCGTTCTTATGGGCAAACGCCGCAACCTCATTGGCCGCCACGCCCTGCATTTCTTAAACTGTCAGTGACCACAGAAGTATAACAAACAAGTCTTGCGAATGAGTCAATCTAAGTTCACAGTGAAGGTAATTTCCTAAGGCATTCACGTCTTGTTGGAAACAACACAGGAATGGAACACACCACCACATTATGTTTCCTAGCACCATGTCCAAAGAAAATATTTTTCTTCAGCGATGAAGAAAGAAAGCCCTGTCAGTTCGATACGGATGGTACAGTTTTCTTCACATCACATTTAACATATATATCCTTTATGTTGTACTTACAGTGCCTTGCTCATTTCCCACTCTTCAGCTGTGAGAGAGATGAGAGATGTATTTTGGAAAGAGTGGTCTTTTGAGCTCTTATTTGCAATTTGTCTTGTACCAATAGTGGATCTTAATTTCGAAGCGAATTCGAAATGAATCGTGGTTTTGGCCGAATATTTTCGAGTCAAATATTGAACAGTTTCTTTGAGCCTTTTATTACTGCACCATGCTTAAATAAAAACCAAGCTGAACTTGCGAAGGTTGTTCCCGAGCTTCCACTTGTTCACTTCTAAGCTCAGTTAATTTCAATATAACTGTATTCATAAACTGTGGCAAGTAAAGAACAAATTTGTTGCAGCTACTTGCAACTTTGTTGCAGCGGGGTAAATGAGTCATCTTGGTTTCAATTTAGTATCTCAAGAACTACTGCATGTTTTATTGTGAAATTTTATGTATTGGATGAATACACCTTTGGGATTAAGTTTCGGTTGCTTTTTTACTAAAGACTTTTTTTATATTTTTAGTAATGGAGTGTCAAATCTTAAGCTGAATTCCAGTTTTTAATGTACCTTTTCTCAACAACAAAAAATAGGATGCTCATTTAATTTGACACACCTCTTCTACATGTTACTGGCTTTGAACTGAACCCAATAAAAATAGGTTTGAACATGCAGCATGCAAGAAAAAAATATTGTTCTTTCTAGTCATGAGCCATTAGAGAGAAACTTTTTTTATTTTAGTTTTTTTAACATTATAACGTAGTGAATTCTTAAAACATTTAGGTTCAAACTGTTGGCACAATATTTTACTATAAGCTGTAAAAGTTTTAGTGTAATCGGATAAGTAGTTTCCTAGTAACAGTACATCAAATTTCCAAAAATTTAAAAAAATGTAATTTTGAAACAAAAAGCTCGATGTACACCTAAGCATTCTTATGAGTTGTGAATGCGAAAGCACACACCACCGCTCTTCGCTCCCTTTTTTCGTCTGCAGTGTACGGCGCGCTGACCTTGGGCATGGAGCAATGGAGGTGCTGTCTCGTGGACATGCAGCGCCATCGGGTGAGCGATCGGTGAAACCGACACGCAGCGGTCAATGGGAGCCTTGTCGACGCGCGCCAACCAATGGGACTGAAGCCGAAAATTCATCAGCTTTAATTCGCTCCTTTGGGATCGGGGAAACAAGGTGCTGGTCTAGGCTTTTCGCGTGGTTTCATAGCTGGGAGCTGGCTACACTTGGAGAAAGGATTTAAGGTGCCGTTTTCGCACTTCAAACTGATGACGTCAGCTCGCTCCATGAGAAAGTTAGTGCTTTTGCATTAAAAAGAAGAGTCTCGTGAGCCAACGCGCGAGCGATGATCCAACTGCTTGGTCTACCCAATGGTGTGCCAATGTCCCGTTCTGTGCCAAGAGCACACCTTGTGTAAATATTTGTACATAGGTTAAAGAGCTTCGGCAAAGTCCCGAGTAACGTCTAGCAATTTGGTTAATCCGAGGAGCAGATAAGAGTCCGAACTTTCTATTTCTCGTGTTTCTCAACGTACAATTGTATCATACGCTGCAGTCATGGGCGATGCTTATCAAGTGCGGTGTTTTGTTGTGTCCGAACTGAAGTACCCTGTTCGTAAGCCAGGTTTCCTCTACCATTGTCTACCGCGCGAGGAACCCCTCAGGGGTGCGTGGTATCAGAGACCAACACGCCATGACGCCGTGTTGGTCGAGAACGCGGTTTACACAGTGTTCAGAATCACAGGAGGACCGCTGGAGGACCAAAAAACAGAGCTCATCTGGAAGTGACACGATCCCCCAGAGATGTCACTGCGCACGTAACTCGGAAGTACCCCTCAGGTTTGAGGTTTTTGGTGTTCGTTTATGGCCATTCTTCATCCAGAAGCAACAAACAACTGCGCTGCTGGATGCATGTTCGACCCATTGGAGCAAGTTGTGCTCCAGTGGAGTCTGCAAATGCGCGGGATCTTAACTGTGAAAGCAAACGAAAAGGCTTCCATGGGCCAGTCTGGATAGGTGGGAATGCCTTCCGACTTGCAACGTGATTATTGAGCAATCGTGGAAGATGCAGTTGATGGTGTCATTTACGAAGTTCGACATTTCGTTGGACGACACCGATGACGTGCTTTGCGAAAAAGATAAGGACCACACATTTCTATGCTTAGTTTTTGACGTTACGGTTTGATTTCGTTAAATATTTTTTTTCTTGCAGAGGCCGCCGATATGTGCAAGTGCGATTTCCAAAGACTTCTATAAGTCGAGACTGTAGCACAAAAGTACTTTGCCAAGTCGAGAAATAAAATACATGTCTTCAATGGAAGCAAGATAGGGCAACGAAAAAAATAGTTAAATCGCGAATTTTATTAGATCAAGATACGTACAACAGAGTGTAAGTACAGGGTAGCAGAATGCTGAACAAACAACTGTTTTTTTCACAAGTACACCAATATTCGCATCAACGAGACGACAAAATACACCCACTGTTTTTTTGCGGTATGATGCAAAGTCAGTCCCGTGCTGCCCCCAGAAACAAACTATATTCGACTCGTGTTCCGTTCACCTAGCTCCTCCCCAACAAAAGTAATGGTGCGATGGCTGAGCAGGCAGTGAATGTGGCCCTTGCACAGAAGAACGAAGTCATAATTCCACTAGCCCAGCTTTTCACTTCACTATTCGCAGCTTCTGGTCAGCTACCGTCTCTTTAGCACGTCCCTTCCCCTCGCGAGGCACTGCATAGGTTGTGGGACATCCAGTGCATGCCCGTTGAAGTACGATAAGGAGAGGAGGAGGCGTGATGGAGGAAAGAAGGCCAAATCGTTTATGTTAGAGATAAGAACTATCCTGGTGGGGTTGCCCAAATAAATGCTCCTGTACAACACCCTATTCGCAAGGGGCTACTCACCCGCCATCCGCACTTGGCTCTGACAGATCCGCCACGGTCGTCTCGTAGGCGGGAGGTGCCGCGTCGCAAGCGGTGGGAAGTTCAGGAGAGGCTGTCTGCGGGGGCGGGCAGCAGTCGGTCGAGCTCTCTGGAGGTAGCGGGCAGTCCGTCGGGGCTTCTGCCGGAAGCGAGTTCCCTTCGGGTATTTCGGGCAGCTCCGGAAGCCATGACGGGGCAATGGATGGCCCCAGCTCCTCAGAGTAGGAGAGGTCGTCTGCAACGCCTGTGCACAGTTTCGGAGGTTAGAATTATACCTTGATGTGCAAATTGCGGTATCTGGGAGATCAAACCGAATGCAAAATTCAGTTGTGAACACTAAAAGTAAGGTTAGTAATAGTTTGGCCCTACCGGCCATTCATGGTTCTTGCTAACATGTTGCCAGCCAGCAAAATGGCGAGACAGCACTACTATGATGTCTCCTAAACCAGGTCTCAAATGCAAAGTCCAATTTAAGAACATGATCTTTTGCTGACAGCACCATCAAGTTTAACTTGACAAAACACCTATTTCCAAATCCCACCCTTCTCATTCGGTGTAAATCAGGGCCGCGTCCTACCGTGAAGTGTTCAAAACTTTCAGAGTAGCGACAGTGAAACTTGCATTTTAGAAGTATAAATTAAGTACAAAAACCAAGCTGCCCCTTTTTATTTATGCTTGCACAGAAATCTGCCTTAAAGTTCCCTTTCCCTTCATGCGCAGACACGCCGAGGAAAAGGGGCTCCAGCAACACCACCACCATTTTGTTGCCACTCATATCATGCAGAAATGCCACTCCTGTCACAGAGAAAAATGCACTCAAGAGATAGCAAACAGCCAATAAATATGACTTATTAACCCCTTAAATACTTTGGACGAGCTGGGCTCGTCGGCCATTTTTTGGCTAAAAATGCCATGGACGAGCTCAGTTCGTCCAGTGGTTATTTTCGGTAGCTCTCAATTCCATGGATGAGCAAGGCTCGTCCGTGTAGTTTTGCGGAGCTGATCATAGATGGCAGCACTCGTATTAGTTGGCAAATATTTTTTTCGCCTCCGCTGATTTTTTTTGCAATAAACTTTTCAAATTATATGTGTAATACTAGAAAAATAAAAATTAAAAAAAAAAATGGCACTTTTAGGTTACTTTTGGAAAAACAAATGTGGCACTTACGTGGTTAAACATCATCCTGAATTTCTGAAAACTACCACTTTATTTTAATTATGAATCAAACACTCTATACTCTTTTTCACCTAAAGAACCATATTAAAAAAATGTCCGGCCTCTCGCGGAGCATTACTAATTTCCCCCTTTATGTGGATAAGTAAGATATATATAAGTGAATTTTAGATTAGATACTTGTTATCTTATCAAGACATACACGTTCCAAATGCCAAAAGCATCGCTTTTTCCTCCGACAACCAAATCTCGTCAGTACTATATCGCGCCACGTATGAACAATGCACAAACTTGCTTTTTTCTTCAGGTGAAAACAGGTATAGGTGTTGAGTTCCATCAAATCCCAAAGTATCCATGTGCTAATAGTGGATTTTGAGTTTGAAACAAATTCAAAGCGAATAGTGGTTTTGGCCGAATATATTTTAATTGAATATTGAATAGTTTCTGTCTTTCACTACCCTGCACCATGCTTAAACAAAAATGCAGCTGAACTCTTGAAGGCTGTTCCCAACCTTCCACAACATACCTACGGGAAACATGTGCGAGATCCGTCTGGAAACCTCGCCAATAACGGCTATCAGTGTAAAATGCAAGACTCTCCAAGTGTGCCACGAACCGAGCCCGGACTGCTGCAGACTGGATTCTCACCGGGCAAGTCCGGCAGGGCGGCTGGCACGTTCATCTGGGGCGCCTGTCCCCGGCCGGGTGTGTACAGGAACGCCTCGTGGGGCACGTCCCTCTGGCTGGCACCGCTCATGGACGCGGGGGCAGCCATCAGATTCCCCTGCGTGTCGCCCGCGCCCTTCGTGGCGGCCGACGTTCGCGCAACGGCACCCAGCGGGTCACGCATCACATACTTGGTGTACCTGGATGCAAGATGATGGCGGCACGACACCGTTATCGCCAACGAGCCGTCGACCCATGCCGCAATGCACACGGGAGGGCTTGGCAAGCAATGCACTCTAAAGTCGAGTCGCCAGCATCGCATCGAGTGTAAGGCAAATAACAAACTATTCGCCAAAATCCGAGAAAGTTGAACATGAAGTGTGCCACGGATTATGGGAATGTCTTGCAAGCTTTTCCCTGTTCCTTCTTGCTCCCGTTCCACGGAAGGAGCGAAAAAAAGAGGGAAGCGCAGTTGTTCGTCTGCCTTTGCCCGCGCTGCATCTGTCATTCGCTACAGTCGCTCACATACACCCGATTCCCAGAATTCCTTTTGGTACTCCAAAGGGCGCCAAAAGGAACTGCACGAGCGAAATGCAAATGAATGGTTCCTCTTTCTGTCTCTCTCCCGCTATGCACTGTATGTACTCAGCGACTTATATTTTTCGTGGTGAAAACATTTTTTTTCCGTAGTGACTGAGAGGCAGGGAACGGCAAGGAGGACTTTCGGTCGTCCCGCCTCCAGCACGAGCTTTCTACCTTCAAAAGCATTTTGGCGTCCCGCGAGCATGCCTCCGCAGCTAAATGCCCTCGGAAGGACACGAGAGCAAGCTGGGAGCCTGGCATCCGGAAGGAACATTGTGTGATTCTCATCCTGTCAGTGGCTATGTGAGACAACCAGTTCTTTTGTCTGTTTCGTTGGGTTAGAATCGTCAAAACTGACATCCAGTCGTGGTATTCCTTCATGTTTTCCAGTCTAACTCGTGTTTACTCGCTTCATTCTAGCTCATACCTGAGAAACCTGCTTATCGGGCTCGCCCGAGTCTGAAACGATCGCCTAGAGGGAATATGGAAGCAGGTGCAAAAGAGGCGTCTTACGGACTTTCTCCCGTGTTGAAGAGGAGGAGGCTGCCCACGGAGTCGGTGCAGTCCGGCAACCTCCCAAGACCGCCCTCTTCTCCGCGGGCGTCCGGGGTCGGCTTGGATGGTGGCCGCACGTTGAAGAACTGGAGCTTCTCCTTGAGCAGGCGGTCGTCCGGCGCAGTGTGCTGGCTCTTGACTCGAGCATGACTGCGAAGCAGCGGCACTTCCACCGCACTCGGGCGGGGTGCCCCATTGGACGCCTCGGGCTCCTTCGATGGGTACTTGTAGCTAGAAAATACCTGCAGCCAACAACATTGATCTCAGTGAACACGGCTTCAAGGGCAATTCTTTTCCAACGCTGACGGGCAAGGTGAAACAATCACTCACACGAGGTTACGGGAGGGGGACAGTAAATGTGTCTTCTGTAGTTCTCGAGCATTTGACGTAGGCTCAGGGTGGGGCCTGAACGGAGCAGCTATATTCCTTGAATTCAGCGGCAACCTGCGCCACCTAGGGGCCTGCAGGTTGCCTGCCTCGTGTTGGTGAGAAATTTAGACGCATCTTGCGCAATCTGACAGGAGCATGTTAAGGTATGACAGGATTTTCGTAGGCGTCATTGCATTTTAATAATCTAGGAAATAAAAGGAGGGGTTATTCTGCATTATAAAACAAACTGGCACTTCGAAAAATTTGAAACGAGCTCAGAAAAGGCAGATTATGTTCCAAATATCCAACTGGCCAAGACTTTCTTTTTCTCTTTATTTCTTGAAGGGTGAGTGAGTGGGCACACTGCATCTATAGGGTGTTTTCACTGATGTAATTTCGTTCATCATTTTGCTGTTGTTAAATTGCCCCGCATGTGCCAAAGGCGAACATTCCAAGGATTTACATAACCTATCAGATGCCCAGTACACAGAAGCTTTTAAGTCTTACGACGCTGACATCTCAAGAGGTAGCAATGTAATCATTCAAAACTTGTTTAAAAAAAAAAAAAAGCAAGAATAACAAAATGGCAGATTGACGTCATGTGAAAACACCCCATATGATCTCAGCATAGGTACTGCGCAGGACCTTACAGTGGGACGAGGATACGGATGACCTCTAAAACCTAACCCCAATGGCGTTAAGGGTTAAGACATTGGCTCAGAGCCACGGGAAAGGGAGCCCCAATTTTCCACTGTCCTGCCTGTCCCCAGTGTGTGAAATTAGTTGTGCATCATTCAATTTTGCCCAGATAATTTCCACCAATCTTCTAATTGCCTCTTTGTGACTGTAATCCTTTTCTCTTCCGTCCTTCTATCCTGGGCAGCAAAACCTTAGGCCCCGGCCAAATCTGTTACCCCCTCAGGGAGGGCAGGGCAAAGCCACATGCACTTCAAAACCAAGTGCTCTACTGTCCAGGTCTCATAATGTGTCTGTCTCCTGAAATTTAGCCCCACACGTCCTCGTCCTCAAAACTCCCGTTCTCGCCTCAAACAGTAAAAAACTTCCCAGTGAATTTTTGAACACATTTTCCTTTCTTATGTCCTGTTTTTGCGACCTGTACATTGGTAGAGTCTCCAGGTTTTTCTTTCCGCATCTTTCACTCCCTTTTCCACTGAAGTAGTCTGCTCAGCCCTATCACTAGTGTGTGGGTATTTAAATGTAAGCTTTCGGGTTCAGTTTGTCCATTTTGTGTTTCAATTTTTCAATTATACCTACTTGAATACCTTCTGTGCCCACTGCAGATCATCCATTTCGGTCAAACTTTGCTCAAATTTCAACTTACTAATTGCCTCCCTGCTCTCAAAAGACGACCAGCCCTGTCCCTCTGTACTCCCTCATTTGGTGTCTTTTCATGTGCTCCCAGTGCCGATCTGCCTACACTTTTTTGTCGAATTTCTAATCCTGATTAAACCTCCAATTTTATGCACAGTACCCCATTGCCAAAAGACAGTCCTGGCACCATCACTCCTTTCCATATACCTCTGACCACTTCATATCTATCATAGTTCCATGGTGCCTTGAGCTCCATAATAGATTAATTTCTATTCCCTTTTCTAATTATATTCTCCTCAGACTCCTCTAAATATTTCCTTCCCTCATTGAGCTGGACTCCTAGATATTTGTATTTTCCTACATGGTCTATTACAATGTCTTGTATCCTCAGGGGTACCGCGTCTTCGTCGTTAAACACCATTACTCCAGACGTGTTACTACTAAAACACATGTCCAAGGTGTCCCCTTTTTTTTACACATATTCCAGGTAGTTCCTGTAATGTATCCTGGTTATCTGCCATAAGTACTATGTCGTCCGCATACATCAGTCCTGGTATTACCCATACTATATTTCTCCTTCCTTCCATATAACTCACATCAAAACCTAAGTTAAACTTGAGGAAGAAAACGAGAAGGACGGACAACCGCTCTGCTCCAATTTCTTTTCTATTTCACTGAGATATATCATGAAGAGTAGAGGTGACAGTGGACAGCCCTGCCTGAGCCCTCTTTTTATTGCTGCGGGTTGTGTAGTTTTTTGCTTCCCATGTTCTAACTACGCTCTTGTCTGTGTACACCGGCTGAAGAAACCTAACCAAATTTGCATCTAAGTTATATTCCTTCAGCTGACCCCAGAGTTTCTCCTGACTCACATTATTGCATGCTCCCTTTATAGGGCATCACAGAAATCTTCTACTGTCGAGACCGGTTATAACAAAGTCAACGGAAATCAAAACTCACTTCGCTATAGCCGACTTCGGTTAACGAAGTGCAAAAGGGAATGGGAAATCGTGATCGCTTTGTTGTAGCCGCTATTTCGTTATAACCGACTTTGTTATAACCGATCTCGACAGTAGTAACTTTCCTGTTGTATCTTTGTATCCGTCAAACTCTTCTAAGTGGGCATTCGTGTCTTTTATGATAATTATTTTCTGATTAAGGCCAATTTCTTTGATGTCCGTCAATATAGATGAAGTGTTCTGTATATTCCTCCCTCTAATCATTTCCTGTCCTCAGGTAAGCAAACCCCAGAAGAGTGTTCAGACCTGTTACCCTAACTTTCAGCCATAAGTGTTCGCTGCAGCTTTCCTTCTCTATTTCCCAGTCTTGCCCTTTAACTAACATGCCTCGACCTCCACCTTCGCGTTCACCTCCCCTCTGGTTGCATCCCATCCAGGAGTAGCCTGGTATGTATGATGGTTCCTCTTCATCTCTAAGGTAAGCTTCTGCTACTCCATGCACTGTGAAATTTTCAGCCTCTAATTGTTCACCAATCTCCTCCCACTTTATTCTGTTTCTACCTCCCAGTATGTTTATGAAGCCTATATTGAGCCGATTCTTTCATTTCTACGTGGCTTCTTCCTGCTCTTGCAGTACTCACACCCAGGAGCTTCCCCCAGCTCTGGTACTGGTACATCTAGACCGGTGCCCTCTGAGCTCTGTCGGTACCCAAAAAAGCTGCAACACGCCGATCCAGCCTCCCTCCCACTCTTTGACCTGTGTCTGGACTATAGTGGATTTCGTGGTCTCTCCGTAACGATAAAACATAAAAGAATATTGTTAGTGAGGTGTATCTAACTCGTCTGTCAGAAGTAGTTGTTGTTTGTCGAGCATATAGGGGTGGCACAAGGAACCATTCCACAAAGCTGTCAAATTGTGCGCAGAGCTTTCAACCGCCACTTCCGTCCGTTCAGTCCGCGTCGAGTCTACCATTGTAAGCTCACGCTGGTTTGCTTCAGAATGGCGGATGTGATCCGCTGCTGCAAGAAAGCGATCACGGTTACCTTGGTGGCCTTGCTGCTTCCACGGATGATCGAGATCTTAGCTCTCGCCAAGTCGGCCCGCGCCTGGATGTCCTGGAGGCGACTACGGTACTCGGCCACTCGAGCGAGGATGCCGTCCATGACGGCGGCGGTCACTCTGTCCAGGTGGTCGAGGCAGTCCGCTACCTGCACGATGCACTCGTCGTGCCGGAGGTCCGGCGGTATCAGGACAGCCTCGTACGGCTGGAACTTCATGCTGAATCGATCCGAGTAGGAGCCGCCAAATTCAGCAACCCATGCTACGCAGCTTCAGCGCTGAAGATGTGCCGGTGCTGTAAGAACGAAATGTTAGCAATGTTAGGGCACGAAGAGCCGAAGATTAATCAGAGCGGCCAAGGATTGAGGACGACAAACACGCACAGGGAAACATCTCGTCTTGGGGTAAGAGACAAAACCCTTTTACATGTCGCCAATTAGTATTATTGTTTTCTGGTCCCGTATTCTGTGGAGAGTGGCTTACTTTCGCTTTCTCGTCCCATGAAAACGGTTGCATCTCACGTTGATCAGCTGCTGGGACTCACACCGCCCAAACGCACCGCCCACTTGGCCATCTTGAAATCATCGCGAGCTTCTTAGCGATTGTTGCGTACGCCTAGATTTCTTTTCTTTTAAAGCGTAGCCTTATCAATTTAATTACAACTAAATAAAAATATAACAAATACCAAGTTTATTAAATAAAAGATTTATTTAAGTGCTCGCGTTATTGTATTGCTGTATTCGTTACTCACGTGACTACGAAGCTACGCGAACAGGGAACTTGATCTCTCGATACTTGCTTTTGATCTTTTGCCACCGCAACGCCGCCGCTGTCGTTGAGCGAGCAGAAGTTGGGGAGTTGGTTGTTGACTTGGCGGTGTGTGGTGCGCGCGGCGCGCTAGCAATTTCCTTTCAACGACGCCGTTCGATTAAGCCCCACCTTATCGCGCGCGATGTTTTTCCCAACTCTTTAATGGAGCCACTTTCCGCGTTCGGCGCGCTGCTCCAACATGACGGAAGGCGCGAGTTTGTCCAGCTCGCGAGCAACTCTCTGTGAGCGGTTGCACGAGTTGCAGAAGTGCGTGGAGGCCAAAGACCGACTCATCGAAAGGCAGTGCATCGGCATCCAGGAGTTGGAGCACCAAGTGGTCGTGCTCAGGGCGGAGAGGGACGCACTGCTACGCGACATCGACAGGCTATGCTTGCAGTTGGAAGTGATCGACCTCCAGCGACTGAGCAACGGAAGGTAACAACAAAAACAATGCCGTCCGACTGCACCTGCCTCTCAGTTTATCGGAGGGAGCGTCTGCCGTACATCGCCGCGATGCTGCTCGGCAAAAGTAGCCGGCTGCATGAGCCGATTTCTTATCGGGGAACTTAAGTGCGCTTGTTACCGCGCGCGCGGGCAACGAAAACATAAAAAAAACAAAAAAAAAAAACTTGCACCTTTGCGGCGATTGGACGTTTTGTAAGCCTAATTGCTGACACGCGGGGTTAAACCCGCGGTCCGAGCCCCATGAAGAGAGTACGCCAAACTCTCCCCTCTCCTACGCGTCGTTATGCTTGTGCTTCGGTTTCCGAAGACCCCCGCCGCTGTCGACGGTGGAGCGGCGGTGACACAAATTTAAAGCCCGTTGTGTGTGTTGTTTCCGACGCGGGCGCTTGGGAGAGCCGAAACGTCCTGCGGCGGCGGAGCAACCGTTTTCCCCGAATCGCGGCGGTCTTAATTTGGGCGGGTGTGGGCAGTCGATATCGCTGCCGCCGTGGCGTGTCTGCGGAGCCGAGGAAAGGAACCGGATCAGCTGGCCCACCGAACCAACTCCCCCGTTACGCCGAGCAGCGGAGGTGGAGAGGGGGCAGTCCCCATCCCTCCCTCCACGAGTAACATTGTCCGCCGCGGCGCGTGACAACAACTTCGGTGGTGTCATTGCGCACGGCAGGAGGGTGAGCGCACGCAGCTGCCGCCGTCGAGGCAGCTGCTCGTGCGCTTGCCGGAGGCGGATCACCGGTGTCACAAACAACCCCTCTCCCCTCCGCGCGCCTCCCGACGCGGGACCGACCGACCGACCAGCGGGACTGGGACGTCCCCGGGTAGTCCCAAACTTGCTGCCGCGTCGAAAGGACCGCTAGATAACGGCCGGCACTGGTCCAGCGGGCTTGTGGGGCTTCACCCGCTCTCCGCGCAGAGGTGGGCCGACCAGCGAGCCAGCCGTGGCGAGCGGTCGAGTCGGCACCGACGCGTAGCGCCCGCGGGCACGGCTGGCCAGACGTCGAGCCTGTGGAGGTAGCGGTCGACGACGCTCGCGCGAGGGCGCTGGCGGCGTCAGCGCGTCAGCCGTGCCCGTAGCGTCGCGAGCGCGACGAGCAGCGCTGACGGTGGGGGGCTGGCGGCCGTCATCATGTTCGGCGTCGGGGAGCCTCCGCTCGTGTGCCAGGAGGCCGTGTTCACCCGGGACCGCGGGCCCAGGGCCTTCTTGCACCCGTTCAGCCCCTACGGCAGGGCCGTGCTCCGAGTCACCCAGCACAGGTAGGCCCCCCCACCACCAGCGGTTGCGCTCGGACGGCGAGGCCGCCTGACCCACATCCGCGGTCGCCATTGCCCGCGAGAAGGGAGGGGGAAGGCCGAGTCTCCGCGGTCTTCGGGAGCTCGGGGTTTCGGCTCCCTTCTGGGGCCGGGGCTCTGTTGCCCCGTCGCGCGAGCCCGGGCCGCGTGTCGGGGTGCAGCGCGCCATCTGGCCGCCCCAATGTGGATGTACCCCGCGAGCCGCTGCGACGAGCTGCTGCTGCTCTGGCGCTGCCTGGCCGTGCAGGCCAGCCTGGCGGGGCCGCCCGCCGCCCGAACCCGGGCCGGACCCGAACGGCCCTCGTTCAGGCGATACGCCGCCGTTGACCGGTGAGCGGGGCGCGGGCCCGAGGGGCTCGGCCCGAGCGCGAACCGCTGCCGCCTGGGTACACACGAATCGTCGGTTGCGGAAGAGTAGTCTTCAGACCCCGGGGCCTGGTCGCGGTTGGCGCGTCGCGGAGTCGATCGCAGAACTGGCACGAACGAACGAGCAGAGCGCGTTGCTCGCTCACATCTTATGCGCTACTTTGGGCCTGCCATATTTGTGTCGCGCTCAGGAACGCGTGTTGACGGCTGGCTTCCGTAGTGTTCATTTCTGCGGCGTCAAATGCGGCCACCAATGCAGTTGGGTTAGACCACGACAGGCTCTGACTAGACTAAACGAACGCCGTCGAACCCACGGTTTTTCGGGAGGCAGTAAAGAGGCACTGCATTGACGGCGAGTGACAACAATTAAATGTCGTGCCATATCTATGCGGAGCTCTTGGTTACGTGTTATAAACTTGAAAACTGTCATAGAGGCAGTCGATGAATGCGAAGCAAATGTGGCTGGCGTTGTACTGCCACGGAGGTAGGCCTATAAGGTCGACATGCCGTGCCAAATGTTTGCAGCACTACACATGCTCGGTGACCATAAGGTGACAGAACTGAGATTAATTGCTTTGTGGAATGTGGCTGGTTTCAGTAATGCATCTTCTCTGCCACGGACAGCGTGCACTGTCATATCTCTTATCTAGTGGCTGACAGCATGACCTCATATTGCCATTTGCCTTGGACATGTTTTATGCACACTGAGCATAATCCAACTGAAAAGCATACGTGTGACGTAGCGCGCTTCAGGGGAACACTTGTGAATGGCTGTCCAAACAGGACACGGCAAAAACAGAACACAACAAAAAAAGCGTGCTCTTAAAAAAAACAAAAAAACGTTGACGTTGCAGTGTGCAGTTCAGTGAGGACTTTAAACATCACGGCTTTCTTCCTCGCTATCGTCTCCTCCTTGTTTTTGGGAGCTTGGGGACTGACATCAACAGCGGAGACATTGACGACGTCCAGCAGAGCGTGTGAGTGGCTGTTTGGACTCGCGTGATGAGCACTCTCCTAGCCTCTGCCTCTGTCCAAGGACAAGCAAAGGGGATCTTCCCCCCCGTCCCCCCCTCACCTCCTCGCAATAAAAACTGCCCAAAGTGGACAGGAAATTAAGAAAAACCTCCACTTCCCGTGCTGAAAATGCTGTGACAGTAGAGAATGTGCCACTTTTTGGCAGCCATTAACTGGTGTACTGCCGGAGATACCAGTGAAATTTATTTTGGAACAGCATGTTTTGCGTGTGCCAAAATATGGTCATATCTATTTCTGATATAAGTCTCCGCGCTTTGGTCACTTGAAGCTGTCACAGCTTCTTGATAAAGTATAAGAGTATGCACAGCTTCTTACAGTTATGACTGAAAAATTGGGTGCTTTGGGGACAAAACACGGGAAGTAGAAGCTTGAAAAACAATTGCAATGAATAGAGACTGCAATTTCAAGTTGCACTGTATCATGAACTCTCGATCAGATATGCCGCTTCCAAGTAACTTTTGGGTTCATACTTAATCTGCTCTCTTTACACGTACTGTTCATACCACACCAAAGTCTCAACTCCAATATTGGGGTTAGGGTTCGAGGCAACAAGAGACAAGCTAGAGGAACAGCCATCACTCTGGTATACAGAAATGGGAGCTCGTGAATTGCTGTCTAAATTCAGTGCATCACTTTTGGGAAATACTGGGTTATCTGGGCGTGTGGCAAATAAGAAAAATCTTTATCTACAGAGTTTTATTTTATGGGGCAGTTTCGTTCTAACATGTTTGAACTGCGGCGTTTGGTGATAGAAGCACAAAATTTTGGAAGATGTAGCCGTTTGTGGCCAAGCCAGTCGCTGCTATCAGAACTGCAGTGCATCTTGTATCTTTCATATAAACAGTGTGAGGAAGTAACATGCACTGTATGGAAAAATCTATTGACAAGATAAAAAAAACAAAAAAAAAACATTCTGGGGAAAGTTAAGTCTTTTAACAAAGTGTCAGCTGCCATTCTGGGGCCCCTTGAGGCTCTTTGTTCGCAAAGATATGTGTTTAGAGAGTTTGATCGAAGACATTAAGGTGCTTGCATAAATGTATGCACATCTGTCGACAAACCATCTCCTGCCACAATATCCCTGTGACTCCCTGGGAGATTGTTTGTGTGTGTGTCACAAATTCAGGCTTCTCTTGATTTTGTTTTTCATTTTTATTATCTTTTTTTTCTCGGACCACTTTAAGTGTCGGTACGGTCCGGGAACGGGGAGTGCCGTGCCGCTTTTAATCTCCAGTTCGTCCCGTCGTATTATCCTTTCTACGTCCCCAACGGGTTTGCTCGTTTTCGGGGTAGGTATTTGTGGACGGGCGACTCAGATTAGGCTTCACCCCGGGGCAAAGTTAATTTGTGTCTTGGCCTTCGCGGACGGAGGGGTGCGTTTGCGGACTCTGGTGCCGATTTGACACGCGAAGGCGACGCCGGGATACCAAGATGTCTAAGCTGGCTGGCGCGCCTTTTGAAGGCGGCGACTTTCTTCAGTCTGGCGCCTGTCGTTGTTGTCGGGTTCTACGTATCGACGATAATTGATGTTTTGGACTCGTACGGGGGAAATGGATGGCCTGTATGTTTTCCCATTTGGGTCGGCGCCGGATACCTTTGCTTTTCTGGGAAGTGGACTGACCCGAAAGGCGGGAAAACGGGAGGTTGGTCGGTAGTCGAACCTATAAAAAGGGGTTCTGGAACAAAGGAGGTAGTCGAGCGCCGGAGCTGGCCGAGGTGCTGCTCGACGCAGTCACTCCCTGCACGTGAGTTTTTGAACGTTTAATTTTTCGGCTTCTGCCCTGCCTGTCGGGCAAGTGTTTGAGTTGGTTGTGCTGAAGCGTGCGTGGCTGTGTGGTGCGCGGTGTCGACCTCATCAAGCTTCTAACCGGACCGCCTGACTCCGAGACATCGTTCTTCGGCCGACATCTCCAGACAACGGACTGCTCTGGACTCAGCACCTACCGGAAAGCTAAGCTGTTTTTTGTTTGTTTTGTCTACTTCATCCTCCGGCTCTGAAGTACGAACTGTTGAACTTTGGGACATTTTTATACGTAGCGCTACTTTCTGTCGCGACTGTTTTGGGGGATTGTCCCTTTTGGGTAGCGGTAACGTTCGAGTTCCGTCTCGGTTTGCCCTTGTTTTTGGTTAGTGTTGGGATTTCGTCGCGGTTTTGTCGGCTCGATCCTGTTTTACGAGTGTCGTGACTTTTTTAGTATTAGTTTCTGGCCCGCGGGACCCCATTGCGTTTAACTGGAGCGAGGTTTGTGTAGAGTGCTCTTTTGCCGTCCGCGGCGTAGGATTTCACTTTATTAAATTTTTAATCTTTTGTTTGCTTATCCTCCCTGTGTCATCGTCTCTCTTTCCTGATTTTACACCTGGCGTGGACCTAGCGCTAGTCACCGGTCGAACTTAGCTCTTTTGTTCTTTTTCCGTAATTTCTCGTTTATCCTCAGAGTGGATCATTGCTTTATTTTTATTAATTTAACCACCCACTCCGTGACAAACTGGCGTCCGCGACAGGACCGGTGGCATGGTGTAAGGTTAGGGAGACGACCCCACTGCGAAGGAAGGCCGCGAGGAAGAACGAGGGCGGGCGATTTGAGTAATCGTTTGTTTCTTGCTTTGAGTGTGAGAGTTATTGTGCTACCATGTCGCGAGTGGAATTAACCGCGCTTGGGAGAGAGCTGGGCTACGATGGGGTGGAACTGCGAAACTGGGTGAGAGATGAGATGGATCGAGAGGACGTGCGGCAAGCAAAGGCAAAAGAAATGATAGAGTTGAAGATTCGGCTGAAGGAAGTCGAAAATGCGAGCCCTACGAATGGGTCTGGGGCGAATCACGGCGCCGTGCTAACGAGTCCTCAACGCTGGATGGCGGCCTTTGATGAGAAGAAAGACGACTTAGACGCATATCTCCTTCGGTTCGAGCGTTTAGCCCTGGGACAACTCTGGCCTCGCGACCAATGGGCTACGATGCTGGCATTGTGTTTGAAGGGCGAGGCACTGTCGGTAATTTCCAGAATCACACCGGAAGAGTCCGTTGACTACGAGGGCGTGAAGAAGGCATTGATGAGACGGTTCCGTCTGACTGCAGAGGGATTTCGTGAAAAGTTTCGGAACGCCAAACCGGAAAACGGGGAAACGGGAGCACAGTTTGCAGCGCGCCTGGCGAGCCTATTCGACCGTTGGGTCGAACTTGCCGAGACGATGAAGGAGTACGACACTCTCCGGAACCTAGTACTCACCGAACAATTCATAAAGGGGTGCTCGCCGAAGCTTGCCATCTTCATCAAGGAGAGAGGATCAAAGACTCTGGACGACATGGCCGACTTGGCCGATCGGTTTCTGGAAGCACAAGGGGCCCAGTCTATTGGGTTCAAGTCGGAAGAGAAGAGACCGAACCCTGATGCTCCACAATACGTCAACAAGAACCCTGCGGGAGAAGGACGGCCTCCCTTGAGATGCTTTCTCTGCAACCGCTTGGGACACCGGGCTGCTGACTGCCGAGAGAAAGGCCCGAAGACTCCCTCCTGCTGGAGATGTGGTCGGACAGGCCACACCGCAAATTCCTGCCAGGGAGGATCCCAAGATGGACCCCGGGGGCGATCTCAAGCTTCCTGCTGTGTGACTACTGAGAACGGCCAGATGAACGACGGGCTCAATCAGAACGGCTACGGGAAATTGAAGAACGAGGAGCGACTCCAGATCGTAAGTTCGATCATTGCGGTCGAAACGAAGCACTTGACGGATCGACTACCAGTACGAACGGGAAAAGCGGGAAAGCGAGTCGTCACGATCCTCCGCGACACCGGGTGCAACACCGTTGTCGTTCGGAGAAGCCTTATCTCAGACGAAGACCTCACAGGAACGTCTAAAGCAGTTTACCTGGTGGATGGAACGGTCAGGGTACTCCCCGAAGCCAGGCTGTCGATGTGCACTCCTTTCTTCAGCGGCGAAGTAACAGCACTCTGCATGGAGAGTCCAATATATGACATCATTCTGGGCAACATTCCCGGGGCTCTGGCAGCAGGAGAGTCCAATCCCGACTGGGATGTTGAAGCAGCTGATAACGGGATCACCACCGAAGACAACAACGGCAAGGAAGTCGAATCTACCATGAGTGCCGCCGTGGAAACCAGGCTTCAAAAGAAGAGCAGCCAGACGGCTGGACCTAAGCCACACAAGGTCCCGGAAATCCCGAATGAAACTGTCACTCCCGAAGCTCTGTTGGCAGAACAACGTAGGCACGAGGGCCTCCCGAGCTGTTTCCTGAACGAGGGCAAAGAAAATGACTGTCAAGAAGAAAAGACACCCTTGCGAGTTTTTTTATGAAGAACGTAGATCTGGGGCACTCGACAGGGTTGTTTCACGGCAACCTCCTGACAAAGTACGAAGAGCGACAGACGGAGGGGGAGACCAATGTCTGCAACGTCGTAACTTAGGAAGAAGAGGATCGCGAACGGGATTTCTCCTTGCTGAGAATGGAAACAAGCGAGAGATCGAAAGACGTCGTGTTTGGGACGGGCCTTAGCGCTCAACAGAGGACGGACACTATTCTTTGCAGTTCGAGGCGCCATCGAACAGCAAGTTTAGTACACAAAGGGCAGGAAAACATTGGGGCTGATTATTTAAGTCGGCTTTAAGATGTTGCTTCTTATTTCTTTTATTATTATTTTCTCCTTGTAGAGTCCTGCTTACAGGGGCGTCGAAGCGCTCTCTCTGGTTCGTTTGTTTGTATGTTCTTTGCCGCCTGAAGACGTGTGTGTTTGTTTCTCCCTTTGCGTTTTGAGGCAGCTGTTTGGCTTCATGGTGTCTGAATTTGTGCTGTGTTTTGAATTTTCACGCGTGAAAAGTTCTTGAAGTGGGGAGTAGTGTCACAAATTCAGGCTTCTCTTGATTTTGTTTTTCATTTTTATTATCTTTTTTTTCTCGGACCACTTTAAGTGTCGGTACGGTCCGGGAACGGGGAGTGCCGTGCCGCTTTTAATCTCCAGTTCGTCCCGTCGTATTATCCTTTCTACGTCCCCAACGGGTTTGCTCGTTTTCGGGGTAGGTATTTGTGGACGGGCGACTCAGATTAGGCTTCACCCCGGGGCAAAGTTAATTTGTGTCTTGGCCTTCGCGGACGGAGGGGTGCGTTTGCGGACTCTGGTGCCGATTTGACACGCGAAGGCGACGCCGGGATACCAAGATGTCTAAGCTGGCTGGCGCGCCTTTTGAAGGCGGCGACTTTCTTCAGTCTGGCGCCTGTCGTTGTTGTCGGGTTCTACGTATCGACGATAATTGATGTTTTGGACTCGTACGGGGGAAATGGATGGCCTGTATGTTTTCCCATTTGGGTCGGCGCCGGATACCTTTGCTTTTCTGGGAAGTGGACTGACCCGAAAGGCGGGAAAACGGGAGGTTGGTCGGTAGTCGAACCTATAAAAAGGGGTTCTGGAACAAAGGAGGTAGTCGAGCGCCGGAGCTGGCCGAGGTGCTGCTCGACGCAGTCACTCCCTGCACGTGAGTTTTTGAACGTTTAATTTTTCGGCTTCTGCCCTGCCTGTCGGGCAAGTGTTTGAGTTGGTTGTGCTGAAGCGTGCGTGGCTGTGTGGTGCGCGGTGTCGACCTCATCAAGCTTCTAACCGGACCGCCTGACTCCGAGACATCGTTCTTCGGCCGACATCTCCAGACAACGGACTGCTCTGGACTCAGCACCTACCGGAAAGCTAAGCTGTTTTTTGTTTGTTTTGTCTACTTCATCCTCCGGCTCTGAAGTACGAACTGTTGAACTTTGGGACATTTTTATACGTAGCGCTACTTTCTGTCGCGACTGTTTTGGGGGATTGTCCCTTTTGGGTAGCGGTAACGTTCGAGTTCCGTCTCGGTTTGCCCTTGTTTTTGGTTAGTGTTGGGATTTCGTCGCGGTTTTGTCGGCTCGATCCTGTTTTACGAGTGTCGTGACTTTTTTAGTATTAGTTTCTGGCCCGCGGGACCCCATTGCGTTTAACTGGAGCGAGGTTTGTGTAGAGTGCTCTTTTGCCGTCCGCGGCGTAGGATTTCACTTTATTAAATTTTTAATCTTTTGTTTGCTTATCCTCCCTGTGTCATCGTCTCTCTTTCCTGATTTTACACCTGGCGTGGACCTAGCGCTAGTCACCGGTCGAACTTAGCTCTTTTGTTCTTTTTCCGTAATTTCTCGTTTATCCTCAGAGTGGATCATTGCTTTATTTTTATTAATTTAACCACCCACTCCGTGACAGTGTGTGTGTGCATGACCAATGCCGTTTTAAAATTTGTGCTTGTTACGTTGTGGCGTTCGCTTTAGTGCAATTGTAACAGACATACAGGATTGCTTGACAGAATGCAAGCAATCCTACCTAGTTGGGATTGCTTGCATTGGTAGTATGTAGGCATTTTTAAAAAAAAAAAGGGTAATATTACGAAAAATTTTGATCTTTCTGTCTAACTGCTGTTACATATGAAAAATGACAGAGCCTACAATGGTGGGAATATAAGAAAGAAAAATGGCAGTGTTTAGGTGTCACTGCCTCATAATCCAATTTCAGCATAGGTTTGACACTCGGCAAGTGGAATTTCTGCTAACAATGTTCGGTCTGCAGTATGGTTAGGTTCAATCCTCTTGAGCATAATTTTTTGATCCTCTTGAGCTTAATTGCATTGACTGGATTAGCCAAATTCTTTGTTATCTGAATGGGTTAAATGGCATATGAAACTGTTCAGGTAATTGAGAAACACACTTCCCACACACCAATGCGTAGCTCTGACATCTTGCCGTTGTGGTGGCACTGTCAGGCTGGTGCATCCGCAGACACTTTACTGTGCTTTAATCTATATTCGGTGCCATCTATTTCATGCTACATTGTCGAGGCAAGCGTAGCTTCCACAGTGCTGCGGCCCCGTGCTGCTACGAGAGCATGTGGCTTTGTGTGCCATCGCACTCATTTGCTTGGCTAGCTTTGACAGAGTTGGAGCACTGCTGAAGCTACACTGGCCTTGCCAACCTGGCACAAAATAGTTGATGGCGGTTTTGTTTGTTTGCATGTGTAGCGTGCACAAACGGTGACTGGTTTGTAAACAGCGTGTCGGTCTATAAAGGCGCACATTTCGGAGGGTCGCATTATGTGATGCCAGGAAAATGGTGCATTTTTATAGAGTAAAACTAGGGGAGTTTTGGGACAGCCTCTCCTGCTGATCTTACATTGCAACATACCCTATTAAGGAGTTTTATGTATTCTGCTTCATCTGAAGTCCGAGCAGGGTCAAAAGCTAGTTGCAAAAGAAACACAAATGTACAGACTAAAAATGTAATGTCACGCCCCATACTTCGCACGTTGATTGGATCAGTTGGCAGTAACACGCGCATAGAAATAGAGACAAGACCACGATCTAGCGCTTCCCGACGCACTTGATTGGCTCGTAGCATCGGTAGCACTTGGATTTACCATGAAACGGAGTTTGTAGTCGCTGATAAGGTGAGAATGGCGGGTGTCTTTTTCCGACTCCCGTTCTCCAGCATGTGCTTGTTGCCTTTTGCTGCGCTTTGGCTACGTGTGCGTGCTCAAGGTACAATGCGAGGCGGTCTCCCTTGCAGCCAGCCCCCCGAGCGAGGGGGCCCCCCAGTGAAGCAGCCGCGGCCAGAAGAGGCAGGTAGTGCCGAAGGGGCAGAGCTGGGGGCCCTCGGTCGAGGGGGCACGCCCCCCAAGAAGGCGTCGGTGCGGCGGCTGGACGAGGACGCTCTCAAGCGCTCGCGGCTCCACAACAACCAGTGAGTGCCCTTTTTGCAGGCCGTCAGTCTCGCACGGAAAGGCCGGTTCTTGCGTGCGGCGGAGTACCGTTTCGGCACCGATATGCCGTTGAGTTCACACCGATTGAGCACGGAGTTAATCTAGAACCAACTTTGTATTGTATCGGCTCCATGGGGCGTATTCACTGGCTGCCATGCTTAAGTGTGCTGAAGGCGAACTACCCCGACGCACATCTAACGTCATCCAGGTGGTTGTTTTGGGGAAACTTGTAAGTGCAAACAGAGACAGATGCGAAGAAGGGAACACTGACGAGTACTCTCTCGGTCTCTGTTTGCACTTTCAAGCTCCACGTTTATTGTGCGCCCCTGGCAGCGGGTCTTGGTGAAGATGATCGTGCTTGGCAGACGACAGGCAGGAGCCCCTTCCGAACATGTGGCGTAAGCAACGTGCTGAATGGCATCCAGTGAGTAGTACGACCTGTACGCAATAGGCCTTTCTGAAAAATCCCACAAGGCCTGTCATCAATCTAACGTTGCACCGCGGGGAATTGTGGGGCACTTCAGATGTGCACTCGTTCCAGCTTGTGTGCTCCACATCCTCGAAGTGACACAATTTTTTTTTCTCACCACTGCTATGCTCCGCGACAACTTTTCTTGGCATTTCTGGGGAGAGGAGGAGAGCTTGCGCACAGTTTTATTCAGCGCTCAAAATGGGAGAGGGAACGCGTGCCTGTACCTTCCACTGCATTGCCAAGAAAAGTTGTCACGGAGTATACTTGAGAACACTAAGAAAGTGGAGTGAGCGCATCACAAAGATGATAGGTACCGTGTTTTGTCATTGTCCTGCTTTCTTTTAGTTCTGAAATCGCGGAATGCTAAACAGATGTAAGCCGGTCCTCCTATTTATGTGTACTCTTTCATGTGCCATACATCGGATTGCCGTAGTGCATTGAAAAGACGATGTGGGGCGCGGCATGGTTCCGGAATAGTCTATTGCAAGGATGATGCCAGGGCTTGTGTTCCGTGCGTACATGCACATGCAATGTGCATGTGAAGTAATGGCGGGCTTGCGACGGCATGCGCTAGCCCACACGAGCGGAGACATGACCGCAGCCAGCCGCCTTGCTTGCGGTTGTGTACATTGGATATGAAGATCTGAAATAAAATTGAGCCATAGAACAGAAGCACTCTGACACATATCTGCAGCCTTCGGTAAGATTGACACAGGCTGAGAGTGTGTGTTTTGATCATGTGGGACAGCAGCATTGTTATTTTTTTTACTACCCTAACAGCTTGTTCGAGGAGAAGATGATGGACGAAGTTTGATACCTCAACCACTAAAGGCTGGTTTAGACATTGGCATTCAGAGCAGCTGAAACAATGAGTCAGCAAGGTCAATCGTGCACTGCATGTCATGTGTGGCAACTAATTGTAAGAGCAGCTGTAAAAGGCAGTCGCGAGCCAATCAGAGAGACGCTCGTATTGTTCTCCATCTGTGACTGGTTGGTCCAAGCCACAAAGACCTACCCAACTACTTCTTGAGTTAGTTGCCATACAGTGCACAAAGCATGGTTACTCCTGTACCTTTGTTGGATACTTGGATTGCAACCAACCCAAAATAACTGCTCGCAATGCCACTTTTGCATTGCGGATGAAGCCACGGGAATTTGACAGACGAATCTTACCGTATATTGTAACAATACTTGGTCCGAGACCACACAGACCTGCTCTTCCCCTTTCCCCTAATTCTTTCTTCATTCAGAGTTGCCGGAGCCATACGAGGAAAGCCATTGTAATGTTTCACCTCGCCACATTCTTTCTTCGACATTTGTGCAGAAGATTTGGCCTCTGCTGTTTTAAGGGGAATTTGCCCATCGTCAACTAGCAAAGAGCCATTCAAACGTCAATGCATGCTCTGTATGTGAACCCAAATTCATTGTTATTGCAGACTGCATGGAGTGCCTGCCGACTATGCCAGATGTGAGAACCAAACAAAAAACGTGGCGGAGGCCTTAGTGAAGCTAGCAGTGTATTCAATGTGGATGGACAGGTATGTCATGCACAATCGCGTCCTGGTCATGGGGCTGGTGTCTTCGTCCGCTTCTTCTTGCTTTGCTTTCGGGTCATGCCTCACAAAGAACCAGCACCGGCGCTGTTACATTGATTGTCCTGGAAATACTTGCAGCACCAAATTTTTTAAGGAATCTTGTCGGCGTGTGGGAAATATAGCAAGTTTGGGCATTCACTACTACGCAAAGTATATATAGTTTTTTTTTTTTTTGCAATTGAGAAGCAGTGCAGTGTGTTTATAGGGGGAGGCACCAACTTTGTATTTAGTGATTGGCAGTGCTCCGTTCAAGTAATATTTGCACGAATATAACGCGAGTTTTTTTCCGAAATTACGTGCTCCAAAACGCACCTCGCGTTATATTCGGAATCGAGTTCAGCCACGAGGCGCGCGAGTCTGGAGAAAGCCAGAGGAGAAAGTCATCCCCCCGGCTCAATGCAAAAGATCCAATGGAAAAAGAAGTGGGGGTGTGGAGGGGCATTTTCTAGCCATTGGGCCACGTGAAGGGGCGAATAGAAAACATAAAAAAGCATTTTTATCGCTTTTGTGTTTTTACAACGCGCGCACGCTGCACGCGCGCGCGCCATGCGGGAATGCGAGCACCGGCCAATTCGAGCCAAGCCAAGCCGGGCCAAGTCAAATCAACACAAGCCAAGCCAGGACCACCGACCGCGTTTACGCAATTGTGCAACATGAGGCATTTGTTTACGAAGAGGGACCAGAACAAGAAGTGTGATCGTGTATCGGGTTCAGCAGTCTTTTTCTGCCAGCGCATTGTTTAGTTTCTGCTCCAGAGTGGTCTGGTGTTTGTGTGTTGGTGCTTCTGCTTCCGCGCCTTGTTTGCATTGTGGGCTGCCGAGGAGCTCCCACGGAAGAAAGAAGAACTACCAGACAAGCAGGTGCCGTGCTGCTGCATACCTGCGTAGTCGCCAAGTGGATTGTAAACGGAAGGACCTGAGCAGTGAGGATGAGTGCAGTCAAAACATAAACTGATATTTCTTCCATTTCCATTGACTTTTCACTTCTGCTATGCCCCCCGAGTGCGAGAAACTGACGCGGCATCGGTTCGCGTTATAATAGTAATAATATTTTTTTTCTTTTTGGGGGCATCAAAAACTGCCCTCGCGTTATATTCGTGGTCGCGTTATATTCGTGCAAATACAAAATATTGAAAATGTTGCGTTTGCACCAACTGTGTCGCACATTGCACTGTTGTGCAACTAAGGGTTTGGCTCATACAAACCACAGCTGAAGCCAGCTGTCCCCATCCTAATGTGACGGAAATGAGATGAGCTGGTTAAACATAAGCTGAATTTAGCTTGACGAATATAGAAGCTTTGTTGGCAAGATTAGTTGCACACCAGCACCTTGCCAGATGAACAGAGCAGTTCAGTGTGGTCCTGCATGCTTATCGTGCCTGCTATGAATGTCTTCCTCTAGGCGTCATTCTCTACGTCGTCCTAGACGTCATTCTTGACGTTGTCCTAAAGGTCGTCCTCTAGGCGTCTTTCTCGACGTCGTCCTAGACGTCCTCTAGGTGTCGTCCTAGACGCCGCACTTGGCGTCGATATCTAGGATGTCGTCCTATACGTCGTCTTAAAATTTAATACGTGTAGAAACTACTCTGAAACATTTCTCCCGCGGGATTATATTGCTTTTGCCTTCTTATACATAAGCAGTCTTAGGTGTGTTTTTTCAAGTTCTTGAGCCGCTTTGCAACTTACCGCTAAATTCGTTGCAACCTCCCTTGGGGTGTAACGTCACGGGTGAAGTGTTGCCCAGATCTATGCATATTTTGCTGACCTGATACTTGCCATTTTACCAGACTAGACATTTATCCCTAAAAAAAAAAAAAGAAAGCTAATATATGTTGTTTTTTCCATAAAAAAAAGTTGCTCTTGAGGGGTTTTGTGCGGACCTCTTCTTCCCACATTAAATCCACCCTGCTTGGGGTGGAGGCTCACAGTTGTGGAAACACTGATCTAGAAGCTTTCTGCTTACCTGAAAAACAAAGCTTTGGATTCAAGGGGGTGCCCCCTCTCCCTCAGGTATGAGCTCTCCCAGGACCTACTGGACAAGCAGGTGGAGATGCTGGAGCGCAAGTACGGCGGAGTGCGGGCGCGCACGGCGGCGCTAACCATCCAGCGAGCCTTCCGCAGCCACTGCATGCAGAAGCGCTTTCTCGACCTGGCCAACGCTTCCAAGGGCGAGCGGCGCCTGTCGCGGCGCATCCACGCGCTGGACCTCCTGGCCCCGGACGGGAACACGCCCCTGCGGCACCATGGGTGGGCCCGGGGCTCGCCCACCCCACCCTCGGAGGGCTCGCAGCGCAGGGTGCCGCCCCAGGTGCCGCGGCGGACCTCGTCCATCCCGGGGGGCACCAAGGAGAGCAGCACCTGGAAGCGGCCGGTATGTGCACGGTGCCGTGTTCCTCCCAATGCCTCCAAGACGGGGAGGTCGCACTGCTGAATTTTCAGTGTCACCTAGGGAGGCCAGGGTTTGGATCGTCGGCTTTCGGCTGAGTCTAGCACTCAATGAGGGCACGAGCCTCAGCGGAACAATGACGCAGCACTCTCGTCCAATCTGTGCCCCGTGTTTGCCTCTTTGATTGACACACAGAATGCAGCACTACAGCCCTCTGTTTATGTGATGTTGCTTCTCCAGATGGGTCAGGTGAGGGAAGAAAACTGTGAAAGGGGAGAAGAAAAACGCACCGGGATGGTGATGATATAGCCCGTTGCAGGTTTAGAATACAGTCGCTGACCGATTTTTCGGACTTGGAGGGGACTTCGAAATTGTCCGAATAATCAAGCGGTCCAAAAAATGAATTTTAGCCAAAATATCAAATTTCTGCGCATATTCCGCTGCGTATTGGCTACTGTCCACTTGCTTGATGCCAATTTTAAGTTCTCGTGCAACTTCTGCTTTATATTGTTCCCTTTTCACTTGTTTGTTGATCTGTTTGATCACGGTGGTGCGCTTTGCCGGCACCTTCGTTGGCACAAACAGCAAAGTTGCAGTTGGCATCATTTGGCACTATTTGTAGACAACGTTTAGTCCACCAAGCTCGATTCAATACTAGGCCTATCAGCAAGAAGCCTTTGCACTCAATGATCACAAGAATGGCACTCTGCTCTTGTGGTCACTTGAAAAACGCGGACCACGAGAGAAACTGGGAGAGCCATAAGAATGGGCAGACGGCTGCCATGTTAGCTATAGCAGAACTGGAAAACCAGCCTATAACCTCAACCCAGTTTGTTTATGGCGTAGGATGTGGTATCGAGGCTACAGGGCAAAATCGGAACAACCGATATGGCGGCGAATAAGCTCGCGGCACTATTGCGGCGGCTGTTTTGTGACTGTAAACTGAGGAAATCACACAAATTATGTCTGAAGTATCGAGCAATAAGCTTTATGGTGTCCCAAAGTTCGGTCAGTGTTATACATTAACTCTATGGGGTGAACGACGGTTAGGCGAAAACGTGTGAATTATCGGACGTGTTCCAAAAATCGGTGTCCAAAAAATCGGTCGGCGACTGTAGCAGGGCCCTCCCCACAAAGCTCTTCACTCTTTCCACTTTAGCGGAGCGAACGTCAGGGAGGAAGCGCGTGGGGAAGGAGGAGCCAGCAATCAGGACGAGCAGAGAGCTTTGTGGGAGGGGCTTGCCTTGCTGTTCTTAACCTGCAACAGACTCTAGTGGGATACCACACACTTCTACGCTTTCCTCCTCCCGGACAGTATGAGCTGCAACGCTTGACCTGGCCTTTTGCTGTGCCTGCAATTCCCACAAGCTTAGCTGTGTTTCAATTGGCAAGTGTCCTGAGACTGGGAGCATGACATTGCTTTCCAGTCTTAGTTTAGACCAGCACTTCTTCCGAAGGTGGCAGGTATGATAAAGCAGTGTGGTGGCCTGTTCATGCTTATATTGTCCGCGGTAGTACCACGAGATGCTGCTCAGTAGTTTACAGGTGGCTGGCTTAAAGGTCTCTGCTCTGCCTCATTTTTAAAGGGAGTGCACTTATCTGGCACATTTTCCAAGCAGTAAAACCGTAGGAACCTCTGATATAGTTTATCGAATGTGGAAAGAAAGCTGCCACGTTCCCCTTACAACGATCTTGGAACATTTCTTGGAAGCATGCTGAAATTAAGCGTAATTATAAGTTAATAAATTGGTGTGTATCCAGCCAGCTTCTCTAGCAGAGCTTCTGTCAGGCTGGTCGAACCAGTCAAAACCATTGCCAAATTTGCATCTCTTACCATATCTTCACTGGAGCATTTTTACTGCCGTGTGTGGATTTTACCCAATGATAATTTTCTAGTCATGTGCAAATAGCAGATTTTTACTGCCGTGTGAATTTGAAGTGAATACAGTCTAAGCTCATTACAACAGACTTAGATACAGCAGACATTTGGGTATAACATATCGATTTGTGAAGTTCGGTTGGTTTTCCTCTACATAGCATTGACTTAACTTCATATCTGCTTACAACATACCCCTCCTCTTACAACAGACCAAAATCTTGGTCAAAATCAAGGTCTGTTATAACAAGCTTAGACTGTAGTAGTGGTTTTGACTGAATATTTTCTAATTTAATAGTTAATGGTTTCTCTAAGCCTTCTACTACAGCTGCACCATGCTTAAACGAAATCCCAGCTAAACTCGTGAAGGTGGTTCCCAGGCTTCCACTTGTTCATTTATAAGCTATTTTAATCTATCTATATTTATTGACTGTGACCCCAGAAAATCTGATGCCTTGGGATGGCAAATAGACGACGGATTTGACACGAAATTAATCCTATAGAGATTCCCAGTTAAACTTAATTGAGTGATTTTGCAAGTTTTGCTATGTGCACATATACTTCAATCTATTTAAAAACAAAAATTTGCGAATAATGAACGCAGGTTGTCAGGCCGTCTCTGCCTAATGGCGAATTCCACTGGTTGTTTTGGAGCACGCCAAGATCAGTAGTCCATATCCGAAATGGAGTATGCGATCTGAACGGAGTCGCTCCGCCTCCGAATCCACAGTGGAAGATGACCACTCCTCCGGGATTGGCGGATGCCTTCCCGTCATTCACCTTCCCGGGAATCCTCTTCCCGTGAATCCTCTTCCCGTGGTCCAGGATCTCGAAGCATGAGTTTTCGCGATTGCGGCACTAACAACATGTGTTGAACGGATGAGCGAAGTTAATCATGATGTGAGAGATGCATGTCAATAAGCGATCTGAATCAGCGTAGCCCTCTTGCCTCTTTACTGGAATACTCGTGAACAGTGTCCAATTACATCTCGATTTTTGGCCTCTTCTGCGGAGGTGCGAAAGGCGGATGAATTCATGCGGGACATACAAGCAATCCTTGTCGTCGCTCCTACTTGAGCCGCTTCTGCTGGAGGAGCTCCTCGAGCAACTTGATGATGAACTGTCATCAAGCAGCGACAGCAGTAAAGCGGGTGGCACTTCGTGGGCGGCCATTACGAATTCTTTCAAGGCGAGATGCCCGGCGAGAAAGGAAGCCATGTGTATGCGCCAAGGGTTGACTAGGCTGGCTTCCGGTCGAGTCCGGAAGCCAGCCTGGCCAGCTGACTTTACTCGGATCTGGATCGAGATCTAGGGTGGGAGCTGATCCAAAACGACGAGTGGAACATGCAAGTCTCAATATCTATTGCCCAGCGAAGTAGGCGCGCTCCAGAAAGGCGACCTTGGCACTTTCCAAAACGACCAATGTAATTCGCCATAGCATACTCTTGCGTAACAACCGCAGTTTAATTTTGAAAATTTTACTAGAATGTAGATATCAACATTCACAAAGTTTTCATTTTTTTTTTTTTTTTTTTCAAATACATTAGGTGCACACGTGCCCCACCTTGGTCTGAAAGTGTGCTTTTCTCCCAAATACGCACTTGCGATATTCATATTTTTCGAAGTGTTGATCGCGGCGGGCAGAGCCACATATGTAGAGAGTTTGGCCATTCATTGGAAGTATAGGAGACAAATCAGGAGGCACTATTGGCCAAAGCAGGCTGGGCATGTTCCAGGGCATCTTCAGAAATTCGAATGTGGCCAACCAGAAGCCAGAAATAATACCCTGGCGGCGGTCGCGAGAAACAAACTTAATAAGTGCATAGGAGTAACTCTCGGTGATTGGAAATATGGTGCACGTGATGTTTCAATCACGGTCATCCAAAATCATGATGGAAAAGTTGCGAATAGGGGAATGATCGACATTATCCGTACGCCAGGCTCCGAGGGCCAGGACTCTGCCGTCCGAGCAAAACACAGTTCAGTGGCACATTCGTTTCTTACATCTTTCTGCATGATCATGATCAAAACATCTTGTGCACCCTATTTTCAACGATGAAGGGTTACTACAATTAACTCTTATGCCCTTATTAAAACCATATACCTTTGATTAAAACACTTTGTCGTTACCGCTAAGAAATTCTTTTCGGCTTCTGGTTGGCCAAGAGTGTATGTCAAGCCCCCTTTCTGCGTCTGGTGCATGCCCTGGCTCTGCCTGCGCCTCCCATTGGCGAAACTCTCTCTATACACTGCTCTGGCGGCGGGTTACCCTGTTGAGTGCGCTTCATACCGTGCACCGGTGCACTGTGAGAAAGCAACACTCACGGAGCTTGCTTCTGCAGGTGGTGCTTCTCTGCTGCGCACCGGCGCTCGGTAAGAAGTGCACTCAACGGGGCTAATCGTCCCAATTGACACTACGATTGTATTATTCAAAACTACTATTTCAAATTTTGAATGTTCACATAACGCTATGGTTTTTTCTTCATATGACGTAGGGTAATACTGTTCTACCTAGGTTGACACCAGAGCGCTCCTGTGCATTTGCTTTGGATGACTGCTTCGAACAAACTCAAAGTTCAAGCTAGCTGTCCATGCATTCCACACTGTGCGATACGCATAGTCAGAGTCGGTATAAGTACTCTCGCGTTTTACCAGTGCAAGCTAGTGTCACGGACCAGTATTGATGGCTTAGGAAATTTACCTCCTACATACATACTATATTTCACTGTAACATACCTCATTACCAGCTTTCCTGTGTCTCGCGGGATTAGGGTAGGAGGACCGTGTCATGCTGTGCACCTGCGCTTAATGGAGGAACAAATTGTGGTGCAGCAATCACGGCTGGCAGAAGGCTGGATGGGGTAATGCCATACGAGAATCATAGACGCGACGGTGGCGCGTCGTATTCGACGTGTGCTTTACCGTGGGTCAGGACAGAGACTGGAGTGTCCCTTAGAGCGTCCGTCTCCCCCCTCCCCCCGGGTGGGTCCGGGGTGCGTCTCCACAGGCGGTAGCCCCCAGTCAGTCCCCAGCCCCCACGGCAGCTTCAACGGCGGCGGCGGCAGCAGCGGCAACAGCGGCGGCAGCGAGTCAGTCTCCCTTGGCTGCGGTGCCTGCCGGACTGAGGCTGGAGGACAAGCGCCTGAGCAACATCTCCGAGAACAGCGAGGACAGCCTGGACTGCGCCGCCTACTCCTGCTCCCCTCCGGCCTCGGACGTGCTTCTGCTTTACCCGCACCAGGGGGTGGGGGGCTCCAAGGACTCCATGGGCTCCTCCAAGGTTGGGACACAACATCATCCCCAACTCCCCCTGCCCCCCCCCCCCCCCCCCCTTTCCGCCCCCGCCCGTTTGACCGTCCCGTCGGACTTTAGGCCGGCTTGCACATTTGTGTACGACAGCGGCCGAGCACGTTGTGATCTCGTGAACGCTTACAACGAGAGGTCGCACCACAGATCAGTGGGACCTGCTGGCCCCCAGCTGTTAAGCGGCCCTGGAACTGGGTGTAGCTAGACCGAAGGGTTTCCAGTATTTGCCGACACAAAATCTACGCACTGTCCACAAGAAATGGGCGCTTAAAACAATTTTAAAAGGTGTCGCGAGCCCACGGCATGAGCGTAATGCATAAAAGATTAGGAAATGCACACAAATTGGAAGTGTTCCTGGGCCGCCTGACAGATGGCGCAAGTGCAGTCTCTCGTCATGAGCTCCCACGAGAGATAGCAAAACACTCGGTCGGGGTCGAATGCGGCGGCAGTTACTTCGAGACTCGAGGCGGAAAGACAACCGAGCGAACGCAAGGACAAACTCAAAACGCTGCTATTTGTTAAGGTTGTGCCTGCCTGTGGCAAAGGCTGGTGCAACGAAGTACAGACTTAGCGAAGGGAAGTTGAGGTATATAGTTGAAGCGAAGCGAAGTTGGGGTGAAGTTGACGCGTGCTTGTAATACTGCTCGTACAAACGCTTGAGGTACCTGCGGAACCTTCAAGAGAGGTTTTAGTGTATTTGTGCTTAGTCGCAGCATGTATGAGCTTGCATGGTATACTTTTGTACACAGCCCTGGCTATGGAAATGTTCTACCGTATATGCAGTTTCTAAGTGTGTCTACATAGTATCCTCCCTCGGTGTCTCGTGGTAACTGTCCCTGTTCACTGGCCTTTATTGCCCATGACCATTTAATTAAAACGGGGCTTTAAAGGACCACTCCAGTCTGTCTAGCTCTTAATTTGGTCTATGTTCGTGTGCACTTTTCTCCAGACGAAACTCTGCTGAACCTTCAGAAGCACAGTAGTACAACACCCAGGCACTGGGAGGGCGGGATTAGTTTGGCCTTTCTAAAAAAAATTGCAATGTGTAGCTGCATGTACAACTGAGAGGTGCAGAATAATTCGGGCCTTTAAGTGCATAGTGGCAGCTCCCTTTCTTCTTTTTTTCTCGCGATCACTAGCTAACTTTTTAGCCCCACCATAGGTGTACGTCAGGCACGTGTCAGCCTCAAGAAAACCCTAGAACTGTGCATGGCAGCTTGCATGGAATTGCTGAGCATGCGTAAACTTTAACAAATCCTCATCAGCTTTTACATGAAACACCGTAACTCAGTTCAGGAGCCACTGTCACAACTAGTAGTACTTGTTGTACTAAATGTCTGGTCTTGTAACACATACACAGCATGTTTGTGGATGACAATTTAGTGAGGAGATGTACTTGAAAAAAGGAGCCTCCCAGGACCTCCAGAGCGGCAGCCGACACTTTGCTTCTTCAAGCAAGGTGTCGGCCGCTGCTCTGAAGCTTGCAGAAGCTTTTGTTGAGTCCTTCCCACCAGTGTCGATTGTGCCATCTTGCAATTCGTTAGGACTGCCGTCACTCTGAGCCTTCTAAAAGTTTTCTTTTCCCTTTTTTTTTTTTACCAATATATTTACTATAGTTTCTGACAGGATGAGAACTGGGAGGTCTTACAGTTGCCCTGCATCCAGCGCAAGCTTTCTACCTTCGATAATGCTTCGTCGTCTTGTAAGCCTTGAGCGTGCGCACACATCGGATGCACGGCGGAAGGCGACGAGTGCGCGCAGGGTGCTCGGCATTCGAAATAGGTGCCCTGCCGTCCTTGGCTTGTCGGCGCCGTAGAGCGTGCAAACTCTGTGGGGGGCAGTCTCCCACGGTTGGGCTTGTGGCGGCCCGTTTGCACGCAGGGCAGCGAGGCGCAGCGCAAGCGGCAGTACCGGGTGGGGCTGAACCTGTTCAACAAGCGTCCGGAGAAGGGGGTGCGCTACCTGGTGGACCGGGGCTTCCTGGACGCCTGTCCCCGGGCCGTGGCCCGCTTCCTGGTCTCCCGCAAGGGCCTGAGCAAGCTCATGATCGGCGACTACCTGGGCAACCTGCAGTGCCCCTTCAACATGCAGGTTCTCGAGTGCTTCGTGCAGGAGCTCGACTTTGCCGGCATGCAGGTCGACCTGGCCCTGAGGAAGTTCCAGAGCTACTTCATCCTGCCCGTGAGTGCTTTCTGCCCCATTATTATTTTTTTTTTATGGAAAAGGCACAAAGTATATGAATTCATTCCGATTGGTTTATCTTTCATGTCGTTGGAAGGGTGAATTCGATTGTAATGCACGTGTACTCCGTGAACCAGTAAGCCGACTGTGCATCGGCAGTTAGAGCTATGCGCTTGCCGAAGTAGTCGACCACCTCCCTTTCATCACCTGACCCTGCTTTCTGCTAGGACTGTGATCACGTGGCAAAAGGCAAACGTAGAACTGGTCTACAAGCATGTAGCCTCCACCAAGCTGTCAGTTTAGAGGTGAATGGAGTAAACCGTGTCTATCCCAAAATAAGTCAACCTCTTTATGAACAATGCCTGCTTGTGCATTTCTCCACAACGCTCAAGACGAGCCAATCATTGCGATATACGGAAGAGGCTCGGCGAATAATGAGGCACCGATAACGTTTAAACGCAGAAATGAGATCTGTGGATCGCATTTTTTATTCAAAACGTTATCTTCGCTTTGCCATTCGCCGGTTCCTTTTGTAAGTCTTAATGATTGCCGTGAGTCCGTGACTTATGCAGGAAAGTAGACAGACAGGCCTGTTCATAATGTTTAAAGGTGGGGAGTGTTTTGTGTGGATGCCAGTTTTGAGAAAGGAGCACCGATGGATGACTTCCTTCTTTCCGTAACATCAGAGAAATGGTGCGTTGGGACTGAGTGGCATAACGGCACCATTTCCCTTGAATTCAGGGGTGGATTTTTTTCTGCTTCCTATTTTGTAGCAGCCTATTATGGTGCAGAGCTACTACATCAATACAGGTGATGCCACCTCATTGCTGATGTGAGTATTTCTGTGTCTGGAGTCAGCAAAATTGAGAGTTCATTGGCTTGTAAATCTTGTTGCAAGACTTCTGACCGATAGGTTTTTCGGACATCTCAAAAACCAAAACGAGTCTCATATAACTTGAGACTGTCTCAGGGTCTGGAAGGACTGCTAGAGCTAGCACATGAATGACATGCAAAGATTATGTCTTTGCACTTCGGGCTTTCCTGCCAGCCCAGATGGCCATTTTTTCGAAGTTTGAATCTCTATGCTCCACATCCTGTTGTGATCGCACCGCGATGGCACCGCAATGCCACTTTCAATAGACTGTGCGCTGGACGTCTTACTCGAGCACATTGTTGGCAGCGCTTGCTCAGAATGCGCTTCCTTCACTGCCATGAACAGTGACCTCGGTAGTGTGAGAATTGAGATCGAGAAGTGTCTCGAAGGCTGGTGCGTCTGCGGGCACCCGACAGCGACGGATTCGTCTGCCGGCGGACGTTCACCCGTCGTGACCTCTCCCCCGGGGGCAGGGCGAGGCGCAGAAGATAGAGCGGCTGGTGGAGGTGTTCAGCCACCAGTACGCCCAGTGCAACCCGGATGTGGTGGCCAAGCTGCGCAGCGCGGACACCCTCTTTGTGCTGGCCTTCTCGGTGGTGCTGCTCAACACTGACCTGCACACGCCCAGCGTGAAGGCGGACAAGCGCATGAAGCTGGACGACTACGTGCGCAACCTGCGGGGCGTGGACGAGGGCCACGACCTGGACCGGGACATGCTGGCAGGCATCTACGAGCGCATCAAGGCCCACCCGTTCCGCCCAGGCTCGGACCACGTCAGCCAGGTGCTCAAGGTCCAGCAGTCCATCGTCGGCAAGAAGCCCGTGAGTGTAACAGTCCCGCGCGGTTTACGGCGGGACGTCGTGTGTGGCGACGTGTGGGGATGCGGATAGGTGTCGGGGCGGGGGAAGCTGTACACCTGTGAGCATTGCGCTGCTTGGAACGAGTCTTCAACTAGTGCATTAAAGTTAGCGTTTTGTCCCGCCTGTACATCAAAGGCGGTCTCGAAGTGGCAATCAGTGACGTCGTACAAGCCGGCGTGTCGTGTTGTCGGATGTCGTCATCCTGGCGGTTAAGGCTAAAAGTTACGAAAAAAAGGCATGAGCGAATCCGAGAGTTTCCGTCGTCGCGGAATCTTGACTTGTGGTTGCAGGACAGGAACCTGTATCGGAACAGGCGTCTACAACGTTTTCTACTGTTGCTGCAACACCTCCATGATCGAGGCCGGTGACAGCGGGACACTTTTACGGCATCATCAGGCGCAAATCGAGGGACCACTTTTTTGAACATGGTCAACACACCAGTCAGAGACGCGTTCGAGGCACCATGGTCGGTGTTGAGTGCAGTCTAAACCTCCTGGTCGCGGACGACGCGCACATGGTCAAGGAATGTCGTCCTGGCCCGGGTCATTGCTACTTTGTATTGGTAAAAACTTGGCTTCTCGTCGAATCTCCACAGAGTTGCGTAGACTGGGGATGCACCAAAAGTGCTGGGAAAGATGTTCAGATCGGTTTGCGCACGTTTCCTGCCTGCCAGTTCCATCCGAGAACTCGGTAGGGGTGCTGTGAAAAGCGAAAAACTAAATGTGGTCGGACCATAACCACCTGTACGGCAAGCACTTTGAGGTGAATTTGTGGAGGCTTGTTTTTATAATTATTGGGAGGACACTAGCCAAAAGGGTCAAATATTGAACCTCTCGCTTAATATGAAATAAAGTTACGGTATATACTGGCAGTAACAAGGCGGAATGCAGTGCAAATTTTCATCTGTGTACATGAAGTTTGGAAAAAATTGTGGTCATTTTTATCTGAAACACATTGACATTCTTTAGGAAAACTTTTGTTAGAAAACTAGTGTAATACCCAACATGTTTCTTTACTAGATATGCAGCAGAATCCCTCGAGAGTGTAACTGTGGAAACAAAATTTCCACAAAGTAATTTATTTTACGCTAGCATCATGCTGAAAAATCCAATAAATTTTTTGCCTTTTATGTCGTTGACAAAATCTTAACATCTTAAAGGGGCCCTCCGGAGCTTTCTGCGATCGTCTGTTTATGTTGTTATATTGCGTAGTAGACGCATGTTAATATGTATACAAAGTTTTTACAAAACCGTTTATTAAGCTTCCCGTGGATCCCGACTCCGAAGCCAGCTTTGCGATCCTTCCACGTCAACGAGTCAAACTTTTCCTTGTCATCTGTGGAATGCGACTGCGTATTGCAGTAACGGTGCGGTGCGACGAACGACGACTGCCGAGCACAAAGTCCGGAGAGATTCCTCCGCGGGTCGGCGGTCGGCCGCGTTGGTGGCGTGCAGCGACGCCGGAATCCTTCGCTTGCTATTGACTGACGCGTAAAGAGATGCCCCTCCTTTCCGGGGTCATCTTAGAAAGGGGGGGCGTGCCGGGGACTTTGATAGCAATTTTAATAGGGAAATCCGCCGCGCATGACCATAATTTTATGATTTTTAGGATCCTTAGGACCTGTAAATTGAGTTACCGCCATAAATAGACCATCGCAGAACGCTCCGGAGGGCTTAAGACATCCACAAACTAAAAAATTAGGAGCCCTTCCATTTTGTGAAGGTGTACGACCAGCGAAACTGTTTAGCACATGATAGAGACGTGACAGAATTTTGAACAAAGGTACGAACACATTTATTGTCTTGATCGGTGGTCATTGTGACGAAAGGTACGCAGATGCCGCCCGCCGCCGCTGACATTCTCATTGCCGTTCCCACCATTGCTCTTTGGGAGTCCAGACTATACGCGGCCTCCCCATTACGACGAGGGAAGAGAAGTGAGATTGAAAATAGAGAATGGCAACTTGTCTTTTTGGTTTTTTATACACATTCGCGTGGACGACTATCGCCACCCCAAGGAGCCGGAGGAAACTAGACACGCGCGACGGGACCGCCACCTCAGGAGAGCGGGAGGAAAGGAAACTAGGCATGCAAGCGCTTGGAACGGCGACAAAGAGAGGACGGTGCGAGTGTAGAGATTTTGGTCTCGCACCCGAAAATAGCTAAATTACCCAAGCTTCATGGAGACTACAGAAAAGGTTTTTATACGCCTTCCCCGTATAACAGATTAGAAGTAAATAACCGAAATAAAGCGTTGATGATTGCACGTGCAAGATGCCATTTGTTTTGGGCTTTTGCTTTCGAACAGTGACTGCTGCAGACGCCGTCACGTGCGGCACATGGGTGCGGTGCAAGCCTTGAGTTTTTTGCCACACACACAAAATATCCACGGAACCCTAGCCATAAACGGCTTCGCTGTAAAACAATGCCACAATAAAATTGCCCATTAAATTCCATTTAGGAAAAAACAATGAGTGAGCCTTTCCTTGTATCCCGGTACCAAACGATAGGTTTCCTAAAGTGAAATTTATTCCAAAATGTTGAACGGAGAAAAACGCATTCAAAGTGCTCGAGCCTCTACCTTTTCTTTATCATCGATGGACCGAGAATAATTCATAAAAAAATTAACTGTGCAGTGTAAGCAAATGGAAATTTCTGTGAATACTCTCTTCTCTAGGTGTTGGTGGATATAGCATTTTTCAAAATCAACTTTTTGCAGAAATATGTTTCTTTTTCTGGACAGCGTTTTTTCTTAAGTTGTTTTAACATTAATGCCGGAAAACGGTCAAGTGGTCCAGACCATGATTTGAAAAACACGAAAGAATAAAACATGTAGGGATGAATAAAACATGTAAAAGGTAAAGAGACTGTCTGGGCAAGACACGCGGTAAAAAGGTAAAGAGACTGAAAAGACTGAAAGAAAAAGATGGGGCGGCCAAGGAGCTTGCGCTGGAGGCCAGATGTTTGAGATTTGCCTCGCTGTTCTCGCATTGACGGCTACAGTAGTAGTATTGCGGGATTCCAAGAACATCGCATTCCCTCCACCGCCCAGAACCTGGCCCTCGCCCACCGGCGCCTGGTTTGCTACTGCCGCCTGTACGAGGTGTACGACGTACACAAGAAGGAGCGGCCAGGCGTACACCAGCGGGAGGTGTTCCTCTTCAATGACCTGCTGCTGGTGAGTCGGCCCCGGCAATCTCCGGGGTCCCCTCCTCTTTGACGCCATGTTGTGATGCTCTGCGCAGGTGACCAAGATCTTCAGCAAAAAGAAGAACAGCATACAGTATGCCTTCCGCCAGTCCTTGCCGCTCTGTGGAATGAGCGTGGCACTCTTCGAGGCACCCCGTGAGTGTTGGGCCCTGCTTTGCCACCCAAACTACGCTGCCCGGAGTGCGTCTTCCACTGGCGCGTTTACCGTCCCGTCCCGCCCGTGCATTAAAAGTGGTCTAGAAGCGGCAACAAACTGTCGATGGAGCCAGTTTGTTGGGTTGTCGGATGTCACCATCCTGTCGGTCGGTCGTAGATGCCAGCGGACAAGGCAAGCAAATGCGAGGGTCGCCGTCATTGCGGCGTCCTATCTCGTATTTGCTTCTGTCTCTGTCAACCATCTGGTTGCGACGGGGAAATCGAAGGACCACTCTTGAGGACGCAGTGAACGCATCGGTGAAAGACGCACTTTAGGCACTGTGCCCAAACACTACCGGAAGGCCGCTAACCGAGAACCCCTTTCGTTGGGGCGCGCAGACTACCCGCACGGCATCAGCCTGAGCCAGAGAGTGGATGACCGGGCACTGATGACGCTGAATGCGCGCAACGAGCACGACCGCTGCAAGTTTGTGGACGACCTGCGGGAGGCCATCTTAGAGGCAAGGCCCGGGTGGGAGGCCTCGTGCGGGGCGGAGGCTGGCGCCGGCATTGCCAGCGGCTCAGGTGAGGCGTGGGCTTTCTCTCGCAGATGGACGAAATGGAAAACCTGCGCATTGAGGGGGAGCTGGAGAAGCAGCAGCCCCTGCGGAGCCCCTGGGACCAGAGGGACTCCGGCCTGGCAGACATGGAGGGCACGGGGGAGGGGCCCCTGGCACAGTCCCCGTGCCTCAAGCGATCCGCGCTCTCCAACTCGCTGCTGGACCTCCACGACCAGCGTGAGTGGCGACACGAGTCATCCCGAGCCTTGTTAATGTTAATCTGGGCAGCGAGGAGAGAGGGGGAATTAGTCTTCATTTGAATGGGGATGCAAAGATTGATTGTCACTCTTCATTAAAAAAACTCCAATATGCCGGATTTGTTTGATTTAAGGTATGGGTTTAAAAGTATGCACTTATTTTGTGATTGAGTGCTCACACTTTCACTTTTTGCTTTTATTATTAGGAAATAAGTGGCTTTGACCTGCTGCTTTATTAAAACTTGCACATTTTCATTAGTTCAGAAATGGTCCAACTTAGCTTGCAATATCGAATTCCTTCGGTGCCAGGATATGAACCTGGTTTCTGCATCACCGTGCACTTCGTTTCTGCTCCCCAGAAAGCAGGGTACAGGGTCGCACAACCTCAAATTGCTCGCGCTGCACAGAGATGTGTAGGATAGTTTTGATCGGGGCTACCGGCTTGCGTCCACAGGTTCTGGTCACTTTCGAACGAAATAGTATGACCTAACTGGTTTTACCCCTCACGTTACTAATGGTATAGATATGGTTAAAAGCAACAAATTGTCAAGCTCCAGTACCACCAAATAAACTATGCCTCAAAGTAAGGTCACTTCGGCCAGCTTGTTGCATTGGATAAGTGTAGCCAGTTGTTGCTAGCTTTTGTCAGTGTGCCCAGATGAAACAGCCCAAGCAAATTGTGACAACAGACCGATACTGCTAGTCTCTAACTCTCAATCTAAAGCTCAAAGGCTGCATTCCAGAACCATAAACCGTTGCCAACTGCACCTATGCGGCTGTGGTCAAGGGCTCCCTCGGAGCTGCCGGGCGCGAATCAATGTTGCATGTCACAGACAGGCAAATGGTTGTTGTGTCAATGTAAGATAATGGGGGTGGAAGGTGCCAATTCCTGAGCCTAACTTTTGAATGACCCTAGTAAGTTCTGTTCCTAGCCCCGAAGGCACCGCTTACTTTATTTTCACTTTAACTGCAATGCCTGCCACATGTCCGACTAGTGTGTTTAGAGTCCCATACCGCCAATGCATCCGACCGTGCCCGAAGGTGCAACGTAATGTCACAGGAGCTGCTGTGTAATGCCGTGGATTGTCGTGACCCGGACGGTTGGTTCTAGAAGCGTGGGCGAAGGCGACGAGCGGGTGCGGGTACCGCTGCCTTCGTATCATTCATATTTCTGGCTGTCATAGTTTCTGTCGATCGGGCCGGCAGCTGGGGAGGCAGTGGCGGAACAGTTACCCGCCGTCTCCACCTCCGCCAGGATGTTTGCGGCGATCCGCAGCATTGTGTGCCGTGAACTACCCAGCAAGCATCTCTGCTTATTTGGAGATCATCTCGAAAAACTGGTTGTGGGCACTTGTCAGGTCCAAGTGAAAAAAGTGTAGAAGTTGTATACAATACGGTGGGCTTCACCACTTTGCACCAGCGTGTTCGGAGAACCGGCCGACGTGGAGGAACACCTCGATCAGCTAGGTGGGCTCGGAAATCTGTGTTGATTGCTCGACACATCCTTCGCTTAATTTTCTTACGTTTCGTAAGTAGCGGGTGGGCGCTCATTGCGCCACGGGCGCATGCTTGGTATTTTACAGTCATTGTGACGCCACAAAATTGCAAATAGTGTAGAGAACAAGAAAAACAAAAGGTGCTGTAAATGTACTAGTTGGAGACGTATTTCAAACACCGTAGTTTCATACTTCACTCGTCTCGTAGTTCATACTACTATAGTCGCTGGCAGGGCGAGAGTAAAAGGGAAGAACTTCACTCGTTTTGCCTTCAGTGCGAGCTTCGTGCCTTCGTCGACACTTTGCCGTCTCGTGCAGCCAGTGCACGGCGGAAGGCACGAAGCACCACGTTGGAGGCCGGGCCTGCTGTACACACCCTGCCGCTCTTATTTCTTCGGCGACTGTAGGCGTTCTAACACAAACGTGAATTCACCCCCGGGGGGGCGATGCGCAGAGACGGCGGCCCGCCCGGTGCGTCGGGGCAGCGCGGGTTCCCTGGACAGTGGCATGGTGAGCTGGCAGCAGGCAGGGCGCCCGACGGCGGCCCCGCCCTGCAGTCGGTCTCGTTCCAGTCCTCGGCGGCCAGCTCGGTGAGCCGGGAGGCGTCCCCCCACACGGTGCAGCGGACGGCGGACCCCCCGGGAGACCCCTCCCAGCAGCGACAGGGCTTCCTCGGCGGACTGTTCGCCGTGGCCGGCAAGCGGACGCGGCCGCCCCCGCAAGGCAGGGCACCCGTCACCGTCGTGCCGCCCGCCGAGGCCCCGGGATAGTGCCGGCCCCCCCCCCCTCCCACGCGGATCCAACCAGAGTGTACAGATGTGATAGGCCCCCTTTTTTGCAAATTGACTCATGTACAGCGAGAGATGTGCGTTTTAATATATACACCGTTCCCCGCTCCTTCGTCCCGCGACGCTCTGACCTCCCGTGCCGAACTTCGGCGTGGGACGGGACGAATGCGTGCGCATCAATAAAGGACCCCTTCTCCCCCTGCACTCGTGCCTCTGAGCTGTGGCGTGAGTCTCACTTGTGCTGAGGGCACCGCTTAATTGCATCGACGCATCGGCGTTTGAGGAACTTCCAGTCGGTACATTTCTTAAGTGGAACTTCTTTGCAGCTGCAGGTTGTGCGTTTTGGGAAAGGTTATTTACAGGATGCTATAGGAATGCTGATGTGGAGATTAGAGGCAATTCCGCTGGCCTGCTTCTTGCCCGCGCGACTGTGCGTGAGGATGGCTGTTGGGATCTGGCTGCATCATGCGGGGCTTCGAGGTGCGAGAGTTTTGCCTCTTTTGAAATGACTAGTCTACTATTAGAGGAACACTGCAGGCAGGCAGAGATCCCTAGTGTGGGGGTTCTCAAACTTTACACAATCTCCAGGAACACCCATCTCTCGAATGGCAGCTGAGGGACTCCCTAGTTTTGGCATGGAGGCGATAGAGCACCACAGAAGCCCACAGACCTTGTAAAGAATGATGCACAGGCAAGGAATTGGCACCAGTTAAGTTAGGCATCAATGGGTGGTTCAGATCTTCTAAAATAGTGCTTGAACTGGGAAAACACTTTATTTGGGTTCAATGGGACCCTTGAAAGTTTCTGGGGGAACTCCTGAGTTCCCAAAACATTGAGACTGTGCACTGTGGCACTGCAGTTGATACCTGGGCACACAGGTCAAAGCCAAGATCAGTGGGCACGTGCATATACATGCGAAGCCAAAGTGCCGATCGAAGCGGTGTGCACGTTCTTTACAAATGCCTCTGCGTGCTCAGTTTGACATTACAGTGCGAGTGAGCACAGACTGATTCAGTAAAGGCACTGAAGTTTAAAGGGCTGTGCAACGATATTGGGGTGGGAACGTTTCTCACTTTACAACAGATTACTGGCACTAGTGGGACCAAAGAATACACGAACACACCGCCACCGACCAAGAAGCGTCTTCGTCATGGTGGAATTCTAAGGATAAAAGCGGACCTTCGAGTCTCCTTCGCAAATCTTGATGACTGAGCTGGGGGGGCAATGTCAACAATGTGATCCCAGGGAGTGTGTCGTCAAGCTTTGCGATCCCTGCTGTGACAATATTTAAATGCCGCTTGCACAGTGGACACGAAGACTGCATAGGCATTCGATTTTGTCTCGTGGCAATTGATGCCTCGACATGCATTCGGATAGTGGCTCTTGCCCAATTGCTGGGATGACGGGAACAGCCGAACCTTAACAATGCGTGGAACTCAGCGTGTGCCCTGTGCTCTGCCAACGCCAATGTGTGGCTATGTTAAAAACATTGGCGGCATATAATCGCCTACAGATCGCATGGCCGCCTTTTCTGGCTGCATGTTGAGGGCGTAAACGGTGTTCAGTTTTCTCTGATATTTCCTACAACTGCCTATGCGGGGAAAAGAAAAAAGCAGTGAGAGTTTGATGGGACATAAATATCGAGGAATAATTCTAATCTTGTCATTTAATATTCGAGACTGGTGCAGAAAAGGCAAAAAGAAAAATTGAAGGTAAACATGTTTGAGAGAATTCTCTCTGGTTGGGTAAATAATAAAGAGATAAGATAATCCGCCAACCAAAAATTGAAATAGTAGCGACCCTACGTTTCGAAACCGTTCGTTTCTTCTTCAGGGGGATGAATGAAGGACAGCAGCTTCTTCTTCTTCTAGATGTTGAGCGACTTCTTTTTCTTTTTCATTGGTCTTAGTAGGCTGGTCGTGCCGTGCGCAGTCTGTTATAACATCTTGGAGGCCGGTAATATATAAAGTTGGAAGTGCCCCTAAGGACCTATTGATGTTGTATGTACCATGACTCTACGAGGTGTCTTCTACGTAGATTTGATGCCGTGTCTAGGATGCATGCTTGCGTTTTCAAAGGCAATGCGGTGGTCGAGGGTCTCGCAATGTTCAGCGAGAGCACTGCGTTCTCTGTCGAAGTTTCGCACGTCGTTTTTATGTTGGCGGAGTCGATCGTGGAAGTTCTTCGATTCGCCGATATAGAAAAATTAAAAAAAAAAAAAGAAAAAAAAAAATTAGTTGAAGGAACAGACAGAAGGGAATGCCTCAAACTTGCCTGCGCGCTTAATCTTTTCACTTATAATTCTAAACTAATTATTGAAATTAGAATTATTGTTGCATCGCCCCTTTAAATGAACACAGCACTCCCGGCAAATATTTGTTATTAAATTGCCTAAGCATGCCACATTTGTCGACATAAAGAAAAAAAGGTACGTGCATTGCAGAAATACTGCTTAGGGCGGAGCCACGGGTGCAGCGTTAACACTGCATACAGGCCATTCACCCCCACTTTGTTCTCCTGTGTGCAGAGGGACTGAATTTTAACACTCATGATGTCCTGCAAATAGGCCATTTTTGAGCCGGTGCACACAAGCGAAATTTCTTCATACTGAAGATGTGCCTGAAAGTCAAATTGTGTTGATAATCTTTGTAAAATGTATTTTGTGGCACACTATTCTTTTCCCACCAGTTTTCTTTTTTGAAAAAGTGGAGGGTGAGTGCAAGAAAAAAAAAAAAGTTTGGGTTATGAAAAAAAACCTAGTGAGCCTGTGCATGCTTTGCACTGCTATCACATCATCCATTTCACACCACCACTGGAGAGAGAGGGGGAAGCTGCTTTTGTATGAATTTTGAGTGCAGAATAGTGACTTCTGGGCACATCTTGGACTCACAAAAGAGAGTCCTGGAGAGGGGGGGTTCCTCCTTCCCCTCTTCTCTGCTGATAGCCGAAGAGCTGACGAGATGACGTCTGGTGCAAAGCATGAAAAGTAGAGTGGAAGATCCTCCCACCTCTTTCCACCTTTGCAGAGCGAACGCTGGGAGGAGGTCACTTCCTCCGCAGCGTTCGCTCTGCTGAAGGGGTAAGAGGTGGAGGAGCTTCCACTTCATACTCGAGAGGGCGGAACTCGAACCATAGTGTTTGCCATTTAAAGGTGTTGTGCAACGATGTTCGGACTGGCCAATTATCTGCAGGAATTAATCTGTGTCACCTGTAGAACAAAGCACAAACCCTCAACTCGGAGTATTGACATCGCCGAAGGTTGCAGCGAGCGGTCGAGATCAAAGTCTGCTCGCTGCGGGGCTGACGGCAAGTGTAGCAGCGGAGACTGGTTCTGTTCACTTTCGTGTACCCCTGTGACGTTACACCGTAGTTCACGTAACTGCCACACGCGGCTGCAGATCGGCAAATAATTCGTCGTTTTCACTAGAGCACTCTGCTTCGAAGGAGCTATTTTAGAATAATTTGCGCTAAGTTGCGTGACACGTAAGGGCGTAATTTTTTTTTTTTATTGCCTGAGCGGCATTACGCAGCAGACGACGCGGCGACGTCACGGAGACGTCGCACCGTCCACGTGACCCGCTCCGGCCAACCCAGGAAGTCCATCTCCGCTGCGTACAAAAATCGTCTGCTTCAAACGCCATTGCCTTGGAAATTGCCTTCTCAAAATTTTCACACGCATCCGATATTATGAAACCTTTGATAAAGTGTTCAGTGCTTCACCAACTTCACGACAGACTAGTTTCGAAAAGTGTGAACTTGGCGTTTATTTTTTAATCAGCCGTGCTGAGTCGATCTCCATGTCTCCTGGAATCCCTGGACCCCTGAGTACCACGTGACTCGCGCCGCGCTGCTCTGTCGGCAATGTTGTCAGTGAAACACGCGGATCAAAGGATTGCGCTACTCTGCTCCGTAGGAGCTATATAGTGCTCTAGCAGCTCTAGTTTTCACCGGGGAAGGTGGCGCGGTTTTCTCGCTTGTGGCCTAGATGTACAGTATAAAAAAATACAAACTGCGAATTCCTTTAAAATTGTTGCACTGCCCCGTTAGTGGCGGTTATCTGCGCACCTTCCGGCCCAACTCTTTTTTCCTTTACATTTCTTCTTCCTCCCCAGTCCAGTTTCGATTTCGGTTTTGAGCAGTTGCGTTTGTTTACTTCGTTAAAAATATATTGGTTGATCTTGATGTTCAGAGGAGTGGGAGGAAAGGAAAATTGTGCAAATCTGCATTTCACAGCGTCTCAAGTTTTGAGCAGCACTCCTGACGAGCAAACTGATATTTTTATGTCGCGTTTCTATTGCACGTCGCACAGTCAACCGGCCACGGCCAGGTGGCGCCAGCAGAATTTTGGCAAAGGGTGAACCAACGAGGTGGGGTGGGTGAACCTTTAGGTGAACCTACATGCGTTCCGACGGCTTCGATATGCGCTGTGTATACGAGCGCAACGCAGTAAAAGCGAACTCCGGTGATAGATAGTCACGTGCTTCACTCTGATATTGCGATTGGCCCGCAGGGTCAGTAGGTTCCCATTGGCCTACGTTATGCGTCCGCGGCTTTCTGGCCCACCCAGAATTTCTAGCTTCAGACTCTAGTCTAGGCTAAGCGACACCACCAAAGTAATCAGAGCTAGCTCACGTTTGAACAATGCAGCCAGGCATACCTCATGTTTCTCCAAACCAAACGGAATTGAAATGCTGCGCCATTTGCGCTATGAGCGAAAGTCTGCTGCATCTTTCGTCAAACTAAAATTTTTTGCTAAATCGCGCCACACTTGCACCAAAATTAACCTCAAAAAAGCAACTATATATATATATATATATATATATATATATATATATATATATATATATATATATATATATATATATATATATATATATATATATATATATATTATTCTTGGTCGATTTTAATATTCAGGCAACATAGAAGGAATGGAAAATGGTACAAGTATTTATTTCACAGCGTATACTTGTCAGAACACAGTCGAAGGTTCAAACACATTGCCGGTAAAAGAACACGTAAGGAAAGATTACGAATGCCGCGATATCGCGTTTCTGATGCTGCAGCTGCGCTTTGACTTAAAATGAAGAGAAGTACAGGGATTGTTCGTCAACCACGCTGGCCCCGTCATCGTCTGAATTTCCAGTAATGTTGGCGAAGTAAGGATATAAAAGTGGAGAAAATATATCTAAAAGGCGAGAAAA